TTTATTTTGAGAAAAGGAATAAAATGCAGACTCTTTCAATATTAAGTACTATAATATCATATTGACCAGATGTGATCTGGATTTGATAAATATTATTTTGTCCTAGGTTTGAATCAAATCAATAGCTTCGTATGAGATTTACAAATTTCAAAAAAAAAAAAAAATGTTGGACCTTTATGAAAGTGGGAGGTACTAAAAAAAGTGAAGGGATAGTCTTATATTCTCTCTCTCTCTCTCTTCGAGCTTGATTTATTACGAAGAATTATTACTATGTGCTTGTGAAAGTTATGGTGCTTTACGGCATTTTTTTGAAAATATTTAAAAAAAAACTCTTTAATTTAGTTAAATTATGTAAACTAAGCACCGATAAAATAATTTACAGATAAAATTTTTTGAAAAAATCTGTAAAATCTATCAAAATTGCCAAAAATTTGTACAGTACACCTTACATTCAGAAAATCACCCTTATTATAGTAAATAAAGGTCCGAATGTACCAGAAATTGCTAGAATTAGCAGAAAACAATAAATATTTTGCAAAATAAATAAATAAATATTTGAAATAAAAACTCAAAAAATGGGAATTAACCTGAAGGATCGATTCAATTTCAATAGCCTTTACTGAAGATGTCCGGAATATTTTTGCAGTATGTGAGAAAATATCGATTGATATTGGTATTTATAATATCATATCGATTGTTCGAGTAGTACAGAATATATTTTATCAAAAAATATATCAGTCATAACAGAACGAACAGAGATCAACGCCTATGTTGACGAGTAAAAGTTTCTGGCAGACAGCAGCATGTTTGATGGTCAAATCTTGACCCTTAACATCTATTGAACATGACTATATTTTTCCAAAATTATATTTTTTGAATAGAATAATGTTAATTTAATCTATTTTAGCCTCAAAGAAGGAATATTTTACAGTTTGACAAATATTTAAAGTCTTGTGTTGAGCATAAAAAATGCTGCTGTGTGCCAGAAACTTTTACTCGTCAATATTGGCGTTGTTCTCTGTTCGTTCTGTTGTGACTGATATATTTTTTGATAAAATATATTCTGTATTACTCGAACAATCGAAGTGCAGTATATCGAAGTGTTCTGAATTAAAAATTTTTAAAAATACTTCCAATGAATCAAGGGCTCATCAAAAAATGTTTACCACAGTAAATGTTTTAATTACGTGACCACCACTGCACATATGTATATAGATTTGTATATTGTCGAACATCTACTCAAATTACAACTGCCAAAATTTGAAAAATTGTATGTCCCTTTTTTTAATATATAATCTATTTAATGATGCACGCCTTTTACTATTCCAATGACCACATAGATCTTTGCTCTATTTTTCTGTCATCCTTCTTCTTCTTCTATTGCGTTTTTGATTTTATGTTTTCATTTACATCCATTTGGTTGCAGGAAATTGCAGCAGTGTTATAACAACACCGTTTATTGAATACAAAGAACAGCAACAACAATCAAACTTTATTAAACAAGTAGAACAACAATTCGCCACGGTATGCTCTGAAAACGTGCATAACCACTCAATGCACTCCCAATCTCTTTGTAGCGCCTCCTTTCCATAAACATTTAATAGTCACACGGCTATTATTAAAATGTGCGCACACACTAGCAAAAATGCATTTTCTTTTCTTATGCTATGTTGGTATTCGAGCCAAGATATACTTTTCTAGAACATTAGATGGAGAGAATCACAAATTGGAATAATCACTGATTTCAAAAAAAAAAGTTGTGGAAAGTGTGCTATATTTGATAGAACCAAATGCACATTACACCCATTATTAAATTCCATATTCATTCAAATTTTGGCATACAAGGAAACTTGTTAATAATAGATTTTTGGTGCAATCTGAAAAATGTGGTTTGTTGGTGTGTGTTTGTAAGAAAAAGGAGAGAGTCTATTTCCCATTTGTTTGACTGTCCAAGCTATCTATTTAAATGACCTTCACCTTTTGTGCATTCCTTTTGAAATACTCGAAAACATACGGCAACGAAGTCAGCATCCAGCAAATGAACATAGCTGAAATTCGTACATCTGATTAATATCTATCCCCGTTTAGGTATAGCTCCCCATCCCTCAATATTCAGACATTTTTCAATTGAATCGGTCCCAATTTCAGATTCCTATTGGGTGGGGCAAATCTTCCCCAAAACGTGGAACGATATGTGCAATTTAAAATAGCGAACATCCTAGTAGTAGTAGCAATGTATGTACAGCATATTTCTAAACCCTATCCTAAATATTAATACAAATTAGTTCTATCGTCGTATCAACAGGACATTGCAAAATTAACTTAGAATGAGGTATCCGCTGGATGACAAATTTAAAATGAACTCCACCTTATGGTGGAGGATATAAATTGCACGGATGGTTTTTGGTAAATATATCTGCTATTTGCCGTGACAAACAATAATACACCGTAGTTTGTTTACATTTCGATTAAATTACTCTTATGACCATTACCCTCTTGTTCCCATTTCGAAAGGCTCTCTTAAACGAGAACTGCTCTTATTTAGGTGTTTTGTGCTGTTACACAGAGAACACACAACCAATACTAGACTTCTTTTGTAAAAATGAGCAAAGAATATTTTTTGTTTCTGTTGTGCATTTGTGTTCTGATTTTACATTCCGCCGTTGGTTTAGCGAAAATATGATAAGGCATTTTTTCACATTTCGCTTAGTTGTACTTTGTTTTTTATTCCAATAGGGTGCGGTACATACATAGAGGACCGTCGCTGCTATTTTATATGTACATACTATAGTGTAGTAATCACTTTTGTTGACTGTCTTTAATTGTCTATCTACTAAAGTAATAATATAATGTATATAATGCAGTGAAAATGTGTATGTTTCTAATAAATCAAAGAGGAAGTCCAAGTAAAAGAGTGTCTAATAAATGAGGAAGACGGACGACCCACCACATCTTGAATGTGTAGTTAAATACCAAATGTGCCTTGGCTATCAATAATGAAAACAAGTTTCGATGATTCGGACAAAGCATAAACTACGTTTTAGTTTTTTTTTCTATATATTACAATAATTTTGGTTGCATTTGTTTTATAGAAAACTTTACATAAATTGCATTTTCAATATTTGTTATTATAAAAATAAAATAAGCAAAATTAACAATTTGACAAAGGAAACGCATATTTTGTCTCACTACATTTTTCTTTTTTTTACATTTCTTATAAATTGATACAATAGTCAAATTTAAATAGAGAGAGAGAGGGAGATTGAAACCTCTCAAATGTTCCACAAACTGTGCAGATTTTGTTTTTTTGATTCTCTTATTGTATGGCAACATATGATATGTGTGCATTATATTATCCTGAGTGTGGTTCTTTTAATGTACTGGACTAGGTCAATTTAATTTATATTTCTCACGTAAAATATGACAAAACCACCCCTAGATTTTCATTACAAAAGAACTTTATTGATTTTGCATTGCTTATTAATAATACTGGAATAGATTTCTAAATTGGTATATTAACCATTTAACACCAAGGACAAGGCAAATGTCACTAACACTGACAAAATATGAAAATCGTGTGGTGTTTATTTTTTCTCATTTTCTTGCATTCGTTGCTTTTTACATAAATTGTTAAGAAAAAATCAGTTTTTTTGTGAAATGTTGAATGATGTCTGAATGTTTTTGGTTTTTACTTCTTTGGTTTGAGTTACTTGGATGTTTCCATGCTCTTCTATTTAACATAGTAGTGTTTACCTGGTAATTGTTATACTGTTATATTCAACAAATTGTTTAATTTTGCCTCTCAATCTCAGAGTTTTCCCCTTGCTTCTTATTCTCTTATTGTAAATTATGTTCCACAGTAGTCTGTCAGAGCGAGATTGTGTTTCAAATTGAAGAGCATTGTTGGCTCCAATCTTTCTCTACTGGCATGGGGAGAGTGAGTGCGTCGTTGTGTAGTATAGAGAAACAATAGCAACCAAGTATTTTGCTTCTTTTTCTTTTTGTACTTGTCGCCTCTGTTATGAGGTTATTCGTTCCGTTTTATTAGTCAGCTAGCCAGCCATCTACACAACAAACATTCAAGCAAAAATTGATTTACTACAAAATGTACGAAAAGAAAAGAAAACAAAAGAAAATATTGAATATTTGTGAAGATTAAAATTCCCATTTATATTTATTCGATACAGTTGCATATTTCCAAATAATTTATAACGTGTAAAAATTAATAATGAAAAGGTTATAGAATGTAAGGGGGTATGTGTGTGTGTGTGAGTGAAAAATAAACCAATAAATATAGTTTTTGCCATTCGCTGAATTGATTAAAAACAGCTGATTGTGATTTTACTACGTTTTTATTCCAGTTCCTTTATACTTTTGATTTGCTTTAAGTACAATGAATTTAAATACAATACACAATTTATTACAACAAACACGTATTTAAGGTTGTTGTTGTTTGGTACAGCGAGTGGCTGGGAATATGCCAATGATGGGCAACATTTCTCTTAAAAAATGTTTAAGGGAAAATAAAAAATGATTTATTCTTCGGAATTTATTAAATTTAATATTTTTAAAGCATAATTAATATCCAAGGAAGTTCAAAAAATAAATTCATTAAAAAAAAAAATTTCGGAAAAAAAGTCATTAAGGTTTATTTTTGTTTTAACATCAAAAAATGTAAAGAGAACCCATCAAAACGCTGGTGTGCATGTCTGCCCAACTATGGAATATGCACAATATAAAAACTACACAACACATTTGGAGAACCGAAATCTGTGATTCCGTAATAATATTGATGATGATATATTTATATTATATGCATATATAGACGAAGATGAAAAATTGTTTACAAATAAACTGAATTTTGATGTTGAAAATCTCTGTAATATTATATGTCTGTCTGGCATGTAACAATGACTACCTTGAGTCTAAACATCGTAGAAAGATCTAAATTCTCTCAAATAAAAATTTTTAATAATTGATTGTCTCTATTTCTCTTATAGATCTATGGGAATATTGTTACCACCAGTTTCTCAAGTTACAAATACCCGCATAAATTTGACCCAACATCATCGTAATCGCAGCTTGGATAGTGCTTTGCAAAGGATACCCGAGGTAAATATTACATTTTCAACACTTTATTGATAGCACTCTTGGCGAACAAATTTTCATACGGAGTGCAAATACAATTTTTTGTGCTTTCAATTTATTTCGATTGATATTTTCAAGAAGGACACTGCAGTAGTTTTCTTGATTATATGTGCTAATAACGTAATATTTTGTTCCGAAGTTTTTAAAAATTAGAGTAAACCAAAAGAAAAATTAATGTCGAAGAATTCTACATACATGTTTTGGAAAAGTTGTACTAAGCTTTACCCCTTACTAGAGATTTCTATATTTAAATTTGCAGACAACAATTATTCAAAATATTACGCTCAATCATGTAAATATATTATTCTTAAATAATGGTTTGAAACGTTCATTGAAATTCAATAATGATTGGATCTGTATTATGTGGAATTTACATACATAGATACCATAACAGCGTGATAGAAAAGCAACAGCGTCCTTAACAAATATTTAAAACAAATTCACTCACACAGACATTCTCTTAACACATGTATCCCTCTCTCGTTTCATATCCTTTCGTTTGAAACAAACAAAAGGTTGAAGTCTCTTCGCCCAATGCTGAAAGTGAGAATACTTTTTGCACACCATCCATACTGGGGTCAACAATGTGCTCGAAAATTGTAACGACAGCAGCAAACGTAACAGCGGCGCTGACAACAACACAAACACCCGCACTGACGTCATCAACAACAAATGCTCTAGCAGGACCAAATACAGCTCTGGCGCCGCACTCTGCTGCGTGCGCGGGTGTTGACAATGCCATGGATATTGTGTCCACAACGGAGCCCACAAGTACAATGGTGGCTACACAGGCATCATTGGCCGCTGCCGCAAATGCTGGAGCAGTAACACCGCAGCAGAATAATATTAACAGCAGTGTCATAGGTATGTGTTTGAATAAAACGGAATAATTGACAGGTGTATTTGTGGAAGTGGTGTATTTAATTTACATATGCCAGCAGCCATCTGTGATATAAATTAATTTGGAATATTTAAATTTGCTGATGCATTTTTGTGTTGTTGTGTTCTTTGTAGTGGAACCATATTGCCCTACGGCACGATTGCGACCTAAATCATCGGATTCCGCAACATCATCGTCATCTTCAACCGTACAACGGGCAGCCTCGTCTGCCTCTACAGCATCGACAAGCTCGTCCTTTACCAGTGGTTCTAACAATGTGTTAGCTGTCATTAATGGGCCGGGCGGAATAAATGCAAACGGTGGTAAAAAACGTGAAGATCTCACAAGTCTGGGCTCCGACGATTCAGGTATATTTACATTGCATTTACCCTCAAAATGTTTGGCGTTTACTAACATTGTTTTTATTTTTCACCCCTGAAGGAATAATATGTGGATCTGATTCTGATCAAATATCGTTGAATCGTATTCGACATTCACACGAGTCATTAGATTCGGGAGAAATGGACAATGAAGAGGAATGCATAGACATGCTGGAAACCAATTCCATGGACGAAGAATACAATATGATGCAAACGGATTTATGCTTCTATCAGTCACTCGAAACAGACTGCCGAACATTACGGCCCTCAAAGAAAAACAAGGGCAACAAAAAGCTGGATAACATCAATGACAAATTAAATACGGAAATCATGCCGCCCGATACTAAAGCCGATGCAGAAGCGCTTAGTGAACGACAACGATATCGTGATATGAATATGTCGCAGGCAGCTATGTCTTTGGAAAAGTGTAAAATCTCTTCGGATGCCACAGCAGAAATTGCCAGTGACACCGTCGATTGTCCCACACCGACTCAGACATCTAACAGCTCCCTAATGGCCTCCTCTAAGACACCTTCTACACCCGTAGAGTCATCTAAAAATGATATTCTGTTTAAAAATTTCTTTGGTGCGACCAAAAACGCCATATTCCGCACGGCGCAGAGCATTATTGAGAATCATGAAAAGAAAAATGCTTCAAAACAGACTCAGAAGTCTATAGAGGACTCGGGAAGTGTAGGTTCATCCACGCAAACAGAACACATTAAGTCACCAACGGATATTTCAAAGAAAAAAGAATTTTTCGGTCTGCTTTCCACTAACGCCAGCAAAAAAGCAGCTATGGCTGCAGCAGCAGCTGCGGCTGCCAACACTTCGGCTAACAACTCCCCGGCAACGACACCACTAGCACAAAATGCATCTTGTCCTGCTGATCATGTCACGAATCAATCAAGCAACAGCGAGAAATCATCAAATGATAGGGATTCCTTATCTTCCGCCGAAAGCATTGAGAAGACGTTGAGTTTACAAGTACCTAACACCGCATCCGCCTTGTCCACCGTCGCCCCCTTCTCCACTTCCAATTCGTCAATATCAAAATCTTCTTCCATATCATCCTTGAACAAGCTCAAAGTACCAGGTGTAGTTAAATGCTTTATCAAAGAGCGTCCTAACAATTTACAAGATTCGGCAAATCAACAAAAGACTGAAAAAGGTCCCAGCGGCCTGTTGAGATTTTTTGAATCACCAGTTTTCAACATTCACTTTGCCATTCATTATCTCTTCTACTCGAAGGAGCCCGGTGTTCTCAGTTTCATTGGCAACAAAATATTCAGTTTCCCCGACCAGGAGGTGGATCTCTACATTCCACAGCTGATTGTCATGTATATACAGATGGACGAATTGGCCGAAGTATTGGACCCCTACCTGACAATCAGATGTCGGAAATCCGTGGACTTTTCTCTAAAGTGCCTATGGCTATTAGAGGCCTATAATTATCAACATAACGATTCCATGGGTTCTCGAAAGTCTCAATTGGCTTTAATGAAGGAAATCTATTCGAAAAAGGAGCGCAAACAACTAACAAAAACCGAGACAAAAGATCAAGGTGGCACTAGCCACAACAACGTGGTATCACCATTGGCAAAGAAAACGCATCACAGGTCCCAATCGGATGCTACAGTTTTGCTCGCAGATTCACGCCGTAACACCTCGAGTCTTAGTATCGCCAATCGCTTATACCAGCAGCCACCATACACCACACAAACCTTGCCTGCTACGCCCGCCAAATTATGCTTGGGAGATCTGACATCTGGCAGGGCATTCGACAATGGGTGTACGTGCTTTGAAACAGTCCGTGGGCAAGTAAATGATCTCTTGGGCCACAAAACAGTGTGTTCTTGCAACGCCCCCAAAACGGCACCACAAAAGGAATTCATGAAGGCTCTCATGAATGTTGGCAAAAACCTAACCAATCTACCTTCAAAGGCCGAGAAGACATCCGCCCTGCGAATGTTCTTGAATCTTATAAACAAGAATTTACCCGCTCGTGTTTGGTTACCATTGTACTCAGACATTCCACATCATGTTGTTCGTATTACTGAGGAAAAGACTGCTGTTCTAAACTCAAAAGATAAGACGCCCTACATCATCTATGTGGAGGTGGTGGAAGTGCCTGATATTTACTCATCTTCCCTTATACCCAAAATGATGCCGTCACTGCGGCATACAAAATCAGAAGAACACCTCGAAGTAGCAGGCGGAGGTGGATCGTGTCAACATAACCACAGCCAGCACCTGCAGCATGCTACATGTAGTCGAACTTCAAGTTGTAGCAGTCACAACAGTTGTCGGCGTAAGAAGGAGAAGCCCTTGTCTGAATCGTCTTCTACGGATAACAAAGCCGAGGCTTTGGAACAGAATCAGACCAGTGGCGGTGGAATCGGTTCACTATTGTCTCCACCCCAACTCAATGAAGACGATGTATGGTCACAGGAGGACGATGAAATAACTGCGCAATACTTGCATATGCGCAAAATGCGTGCAAATTCTGAAAGAGATGCCATATCACAAATGTCATTGGACTCATGTGATTCACGAGACCAAGGTAAATTCTATTTTTAACCGTCAGTGATAAAGTGCGAACTAACTAATATGGCATTGCGTTTTGTACTAGGTATGCCCGTTCTATTCAACATTGGAGATGTCCGCACCCGCCACTGTAATAATCTAAATTGTGAAAACACCAAGTCTTTTAGCAACGATCCGGAGGATCCATCCGCAGCCGCACTTAAGGTAGAACAGTAGTCATTGCCAACTTTCTAAAGCAAAATCCTCTTAAAATTACATTTTTTCTTATCATAGGAACCATGGGATGAGAAGGTGAAACAAATACGCGAATCGTCACCATATGGTCACTTGTCCAATTGGCGCCTACTTTCGGCCATTGTGAAATGCGGTGACGATCTCAGGCAAGAACTGATGGCAACACAACTCCTGCAAGTATGTAACCACTTTGCGCTATAAGGGATATCTTGTAATTTCATATTTTGATTGTTTTTTTATTTAGATGTTTAAAATAATATGGCAGGAGGAACATGTTGATCTGTGGGTACGTCCATATAAAATCGTTTGCCTCTCCAATGACAGTGGCCTCATCGAGCCAATTCTGAATACGGTATCACTGCATCAGATAAAGAAGAACTCCAACAAATCATTGAGAGATTATTTCATTGATGAATATGGTCCAGCCGACAGTGATGCTTTTCGAATTGCCCAAAAGAACTTTGTTCAAAGCTGTGCGGCGTATTGCTTGATTTCGTATTTGTTGCAAGTCAAAGATAGGTTTGTAAAACCATTTGTATTACACGCCGAACGTTATTTCATCCCTTATGTTTTTTTCTCTTTAGGCACAATGGCAATATTCTGTTACACTCTGACGGTCATATTATTCACATAGACTTTGGATTTATTCTAAGCATATCTCCTAAAAATTTAGGTAATGCTAATTATTCTTTCATATCAAGGAACCTGTATTTTGTTGACATCAATGTGTTTGATTTTTCCTCAGGTTTCGAACAGTCCCCTTTCAAGCTAACTCCTGAGTTTGTCGAAGTTATGGGCGGAACAAATACCGAACATTGGCGGGAGTTTAACCGGCTGTTATTAGTGGGCATGATGACGGCTCGCAAACATATGGATCGTATTATCAACTTTGTAGAAATAATGAGAAGCAGTAAGTATACCCATAATAAAAGAATATTCGTAATGACAAATTTCATTCGACATTTTTCATAATTGTATTGAGGCGGTGCGGGACACACAGATGTGTAAAGAGATATTTAATGTGCATGTGAATTGGATGTTTTCCTACATTCGATATAAAATGTGGCAAAAAACCGCTCAGTTATACAGTTACAAAAAATCTACAATTTTTACTTTAAAAAAATGAATGCGAATAAATAAAAATAATAAAACATTGATTATAATTACAGATGCCCAACTGCCTTGCTTCAAAAATGGTTGTTCCGGTACCGTACAGAATCTCCGAAAACGTTTCCATATGAATCTAACCGAACAAGAAATGGAACGCAAAGTTGAGCAATTAGTGCAAGATTCACTAAAAAGTCTCTCGACGAAGTTATACGATGGGTACCAATACTATACGAATGGCATATTGTGAGAAAGGTTTTTTATGAAAATCTAAATGACCAAACATACAAATGCCTGAACATATTAATTAGCGCTATCCAGCTGCAAAACCGGACATTTTTTAAGAGCATAATTGAAATTTTCAAAAACAAAACAAAAATAACAATAACGAGTTTGTGTGTGTAAATATATTTTAGTTATATTCATATTCTAAATAAAAACATTTTAAAATAAATTATATAAATTTAGAAATAATTCATAAAATTATAAGGAAATCTACATACATATATTTGTTTTTCATTCATAATTATTTGTAATCTAAAATATATTTTATTATCAGTGCAAAAGCAGAAAAAAGTAAGGAAATTGCTGATTTCAAGTTTTCTACTTTTAATCTGGAACAAGCAAGAATATTTTTGATTTTGTAAAAAGTAAATGATTTATTACTACAACAAAGTATTTTTTATAATAAAAAATATTTAGAATTAATTGTAACATTGTTCTTTTACTACATTTAAACAGTTATTATATTCTGTGTGTTTTGTAAAATGTGAAATATAACCCTGGTTCTAATTAAAAGAAAAAAACTAAAAAAAAAAATAAATCAAAATATATCATAGAACAAGAACAAGTTAAAAATTTATAACTATTATTATACTATGACTGCAGTCAAAGAAACTATTCAAAATTTATAAATAGGAATTCTCAAAGAAATAATGAAATAAGCGCGAGTATATTTAATAATAGTACCATACATGAATGATATTTTGAATGCCTTTACTATGTACGTGTCCGTTTTTGAATGTGTATACATGCGTGTGTTCTTTTGTTAACATTTTAAATGTATGTAACTTAAATATACAAATACTAATTTTTTATTACCACTCTTAACACAACTGAAGATTGTTATTAAAATTACCCATTATTCGCACTAGCCCCATTATTCCTATCTCAATAAAAAAAAAGTAAAAAATTTGCACCTCTTCATTATTACGAAGAAGATTCAATTAGCTAAAACAAATGAAATATGAATAATTAAATATTTATACAACGTAAGATTACTATAACTATTATAAATTAAATGATCAAGCTTGACACTTGAAGTGTTTCCATTTTTGTATATTAACTTAATACATTTACTATATACTAAATGGAAAGAAACATAAAAAATATATATTATATTCGTTTGTCAAAGTGAACAGGTCTATACTTTAGTGTACAGGAACCCATAAATAAACCGCATAGAGAACACGAATGGAAGTTTATAATAGAAGATAAAAGGAAATAAAATACATTTTATGTCTAAGCTCTACATTCACTATAGCGTAGTATATACAAAACTACATTATTATGATAAAAGCATCCCATACAAATATTATTATTAAAACATAATTGGTAATACATACATCATCCACAACAACAAAAAATGAAACAAGAAGAAATTTTTTATTTGCTTATATACTAAATTAAAACTTACAAGAAGCAAAATATAAGTAAAATGTTAAAACAAAAAAAAAAACACAATTGCAGTTTTTATAATTTGACAAAATTAAACAGCCTAATTCTGGATGTCAAGTCCACGTGAATTTACTCGCTCTTCCCCTTCGACTTATTCTGAACAACATTTTCATGTGAATATTCTCGCATTCTCGCTTTCACCCTATTCTCTGAATGAAGTTCGAAAGCGAAAAAATCCGCTTTGGGGAAAAATTAGGTATTCTGGATTACAGGGTGTAGGAGAATGAGATGAAATTTTGTGCGAAAATTTTCGCTAATAAATTCAAAGAAAAATATTTACACAATACTAATTCTATGACGATTTAGAATATTATAAATGATTGTATGCAAATTTTTAACAGAAAAACAACAAATAAAATGCTATTGGAAATTCTATTGATAACGATGAATGCTAAACCAAATATTGCCAAGGAATGTATAAAAGTAATACGGAAGTCGAGTTTGATGCATTTTGGAGGCGAAATACAGACATTTTGGGTGAGGATCTGTCTCTCAAGAAAAAAAATTTAAAAATTATGGAAAACAAAAATAAAGCTACAAAAAACATTTTTTTCCAAATTATCGTGTGCATGATTTGAAGGAAGAAATAAAGGAATAGGAGCAAATCATAACTGCCACTTTAAGAATTTGGGGAGATAAATATAGAAATTAAATTAAAAAGACACACAATTATGTAGTGAAATAATAAACTGTGAATTAATTAATTCAATCGCAGATTTCTTCCCATTATTCGTTGTTTTTTTTCCTATTTAAGTAATTGGCCCGCCTCCCGATTATCGAGTATAATAGCGCCACCACAGATTATGTAGTTTGTTGCCTTCAAAATACATTCAATTTAAACACTGCTTTCCTTGGTTAATTGACCAAATCGTTAATAATTCCAATGATAATGAAATCCTCAACCGTTTGGATTCCATTGAACGGCTCGAACTTTATAGGTTATCCGTATTCGAAAAAAACACGTGTTAGTTAAGCGAACGCTTAACAACCGCCATTTTGTAAAAATCTATTTTTAAGCCCGTGGGCGTATAATGCTTTTTTAAACTTTTTAGATCACGTCCTTCTTGTGAGCCGTCCGAAATTTTGCCATCATAAAAATTGTTCTTTTATTTGTAATCTATTGTAGTTGTTGCATCGAATTGCATCAAAACAATGAATAGCTGTTTCACATGCCATATTGTGCATGTTGCAATATTTTCAAACTTTAATTATTTTCTTTTTCTTTCTTTACAAAGGGATTATACTGCGGATTCTTGATATTGCACATTTGAATTGTTATAAAGTTTAAATAACAATAAAATGTAAACATTTTTAATAAAAAAATCAATAAATAAAATATTGAAAAATATTACACAATTAAATTACAATGGGGCAACACATTACAACTTAAATTACAATATGGCAACACGAATCCTTTTTTCAACCACCATTTTGGAAAACTCGAATCAGCAACTCGCATTTTTTGTGTCTCCCTATTCATTCAGAATAAGGCGAGAATGTGAAAGCGAATTTTTTTACATGCGAGATATCTCCCAGCGAATATCCAGAATAAGGCTGAAAGAGTACAGGAGAGAAAGGGAGCTCAGAGAACAATTCCAAGTGATGATAATTTCTGAAACGTACATAAGTGAATTTCAAAATAAATATTTACAATTTTGAATATAAACATTCTTCTTTTAATATGATATTTGTATGTTATTTTTTACAGACTTTGACCGAGTCCATATGCCAGGTTTTGTTGTTTACTCTGCACCTTATTAAACTCATTTGACGCCACCGTAATTTTAAAAGAACGCCAAAAATAGCAATACCACTGCTAGAGAACAACAGTTATATCAGTGTATTTCTACAAAATTATTTTATTCATGTTAAATATGATATATTTTTTTCAAAAATAGTAATTTATTAATAAAACATTTTAATTTTAAAATTAAATTTATGACGGTGAAGAAATAGCTAGCTCCGGCATTATCTGTCGTTATGATGTGAACATTTGTGGACGATGTACCCAACGGAATGCAGCCTTTAGTACATATTGACACTAAATCTACGTTCAGAATAAATATTACGATGTGTAAGATGTAGTCGTTGCCCTTTATTCGTCATCAATTTTTTTAATAGTTTTTTTTTTTTTTAGCTCTCTGATTTTTGTTCGTCGTATTGCCCTTTAAATTGTGTTTCCTTGTTAGGTAAGCGCTCCTAAATTTTTTTGACAGGCTATTTTTCAAAAATACATTTTATTCCACCTTTAAGGTTTTATGTCTTTGATAATAGTACGATGTGTAAAATTTTGATGAGATGGATTACTACCTTCGTAAGTTACCATGCCCACAGAATTGTCTGAAATGAATTTAGTCCAAAGACACCAATATCAAAGTTAAAATCAATTATTAAATGGTTAAATGAAGTAAACACTGTGGCAAATATTTCGGGTAATAGAGACATTTAGGTGAAATGCGTATTTAAAACTGTTGGAAATTCGTTCATAATTGGAGTAACTTGTGTTTTGTTTATAAACAAAACGTTATCTGTGTTTGAAAAGAAAAACATTAATTTGAAATATAATTGCAAACGTTGACTCATGTATAGGTAGAATGATATATATGTTCCCAAAGCGTCATTGGCTTACTATTTCCATTCTATAATATGGTGCTATCTGAAAATATCGTACAATCGTATTAAAATGAAATATTAAAGTTTAAATGCAGAGTCTCACGTAGTGTTTTATCGATAGATAGGTTCGCATATATACTTATATATGCAGACAGAACAAAATATGAAATTTGAAGTGATCAGTTAAATCATTAATTAAAAACATTTTTGTTCTAAGAATACGATTTTCAATATGTATTGTGTTTTTTCTTGACAGTATATGGCATGAGTTTTATTCCTGTGTCACCCTGGTTCCGTTCTTTTTATATTCATCGATTAGTCCATCTATGCTGCATTGTTTACATTTAACAAAATGTATTTTAAATATCTTTGAACATTCACATAATGCTAAATTTCTCTTATATAACATATATTTATATCGGTCCACTCCTTCTAGTACCTCCCCCACATTTTGAAAACTTGTAAATCTAAATAGGAGTATTCTTACCTTAAAGCATAAGGTTAATTGATATTAAAATGTTTGCAAGCAAATATAATTAAAATATCATCCAAAACTATCTTTCTATAAATACATAATAAAGAATAATTCAGATCTACCCTACAATCAAAACATGGAGAGTATAATTAAAAAAATATATATATATATAAATCTCAGAAATACAATTATTTTCTAAAAACGATCAATAACCAGCAAGATTCTACAGTACAGTACAAACGATAACAATTTTTCTTTTATGTTATAGAATACATTTTTAAAAACAGTAGATACAGCAGTATGGGAACCGAATAAATATTAGGAAATGTGCAATATAACTATTTGAAATGCTGAAGTAGAATGTCAGAGAAGTATGTTATGTACGAAACACTAAATATTTTTAATATAGGTGACAAACAATTAACTTGAAAAACAAGGCAGGCATAACTCAACTCGAATGCTATTTCCGTGTATCAACCTATTTGATAGCTGATAATAGCTGCAGATCACCAGTTTTTAAACAGTTCTTTCAAGTAGATTATAAACAACGATCATTTGTTCTTGAACGATCATTTGTTGTTTGGGTGGCACGAATTTGGAACCAACTTCCCTTGCTTCAACGTACCTTCTCCAATCCTGTGCATATATTTATTAACAGATATACTGAATTTGCGCTGAGCCAAATGTGATTGGTTAGACTCTGCTCTTTTAGTAGTGCTCTCATAAAATATTTGGTACTTTTTTTATTTTTTTAATATTATTTTGTTAATTTTACTTCGTGGGGAACCAATGTTATAGGGAAATTGCATTAAAATTTTTATAATTATATATAAGTTTTTTTTTTTCAATTCTTTATTGTATATTACAACATTGTTAGTTAGTATATTGTAATGTAAAATTTTTTGGCTTTTTTAGCTTATGATCTAAAATATCGATATTGTTAAAATGTTGTTGTTATTGTAACAACAAACAAATTAAATTGTTACAAAGGCTGGGTTTAGACATGCAACTTTCGTAAGCAACTCTGCTAAGTTCTTAGAAGTGAGAGGTATACAAAGTGACAAGGGGGAAGAAATTCAAAAGAGAATGGAAGAGAGCAGCAGCAGAGTTGCTTAAAAAAGTTGAATGTAAGTTACAGCATATGCCTACAGATGTATTTTTATGATAGTTTTTTATATATTATATCGCACAATAGAATAAAAAACATGAAAAAATGTTGAATAATTATTTTATATGTTCTGTAGTAGGTACGAGGGGAGCTATATTAAAAAAAGTGTAAGTTTTTCATATATAAAGATCTATTAAATGAGTTACAAATGGAACGACAAATTTAACATACTTCCATCACATGGGCAATTTTATGAAATAAAAAAACATAATTCGCTGATAACAACAGTGAACATGCCAACGAACAAAAATGTGTGTTATCTTTAAAAAAATGCAAATATAAAACCCTATTTTCTAATGTCTCTTCAATTATTTGTCTCTACAACGCCAACGGGTAAAAACCAAGTGGTCGTGAATACTGAAATACAAACACAATATGATAGATAAATATTCTTTATGTGATATATCGATAAATAATGGTGAAGATGGAAAACCTGTGTGGATAATTATTAAAGGTGACGTTTACGATGTTACAAAATTTGTAAAAGAAGTACGTTTAAATATTTCGTCGTTGAAGAATTATTATTAGCATACTCCTATCGATTATTGTAGCATCCTGGTGGGGAGGAATTGCTTTTGGAATACGCCGGAAAAGAAGCCACCAAAGCTTTCAACGAAGTGGGACATTCTATTGATGCCATACAACAAATGAAATCGTACAAAATAGGTGTAGTTGATAACGATGTAAGTAAAAGATAATGCTATAAATTGTGAAGCAATTTTCTGAATTGAACACACTTCCAATCAGCGACCGTTTTTGTTGATAACTATCTTTCGAAGAAAATATTGAAAAAAAATATGTATGTATGATTTATTCCTTTGTTATCATTACAGTGTCAACAAAAATGTGGGCCTTCAAGAGACACAAAAACTCAAGAGCAAGAATGCTGCCGACGGGAAAAGAAACAAAATAGATTGTTTTCTCTTTTTAAAAAGAATCGCACTTAGTTAGTATTAATGTATTTTTATTTTAATTTAAACAAGGAATAAGGCAATAGACCTACAAATTGCTATATTATTTAATGAGTTAACTTACGTATAACGTTGAAAATTGGTCACAATCAGCGTAGATATATATATTTTTTGAAAATGTTTAGAAACAATGTTTTTTTAAGAAATGTGAAATACTTTAATATATACATTATAAATAAAAAAATACATGTTAGGCACTACCTTACTTATTAGCATACATATAATTTTACCACTATTATGTTGTTCCGCTCGCTTGTTCAATCTCAACTTCCGATGCTGCTTGGAAAACATCGCACGCTTGATCAAAATTTGCTGTTGAGAAATTGCACACGTTTACAGCATATGTTCTTAAGTAATGATAAAATCGTGTCGAACGCCTCTCTAGGGTTGAACGTACTTTTTCACTTCGACATATGTTCCTTAAAGTGGGCTCATAATCCAAATTGCGTACTCGTTTTGATCGAAGTTGCGTTGAACCCATTTCGTTGCACAGTGATATTCTGTAATTTAATTTAATGATTTAATTTGTAGGTAACAACCATGTTTATATTGAAGGAAACTTACATAGTTTTTGGTGTATCAAACAGATTGTAGGGACACACATCGGCTTCCAGATTGATGTCAATTGCTCTTTCGAGTAAGTTGTGAGAAATACTTTCAGATAAATTGGGATTCAGACGGTCCATAACAGACGACATAGAATGTTGTTCTGTTTCATTGTCCAACATAGAAGCAACAGATAAATTTTCATAGAAAAAACACAAATTATCCAAGGGGCTGGAAGTGTGATTTTTAATCCACTGTTTTTTTGGAGATTTAGATTTGCGCTTTGAAGTAGTAGTGCTCTTCGACAAAACTTCCGGTTGCTTTGACTCACTGCTTTCTAATAACTTGCGAGACACCCCAAAAATGTCATTCAAATTAATGCTAAATGTCCGAAAGTCGACTGGAAATGGTACTCGGAATTTTGAATTTTGACAGACGGTAAAGAACTCAAACAGCGAACGATGCATATAAACTCCCTTATTCGTCGATTTATCTTTTGTTGGTATTTTGGTGCCTACTTGCAGAGTATTCTCTTGGCTATCTGTCTGTTCTTGTTCTACAGAAAATTGACGTTTACGGGGTGATGCAAAGTAGCTGCTATTGTTATCTTTGCTTTCAGCAGATTTATTTTGGTCTCCTGCTTTATTTAACTGTTTGTGTCGATCACCTCCGCTCTGTATGAAAAATTGGAGTTCCAAGAGCGTTTTTCTTAAATCCCGGTTGTTGTATAGGTACAGGGATATAATGTCATCCAAGAGCACTGGACAATTTTCGATAAGCGATAATACCGCCAAGAACTTTGAAATATTTAGCACATTAGGCGAAGAAAAATGTATTGTATTTTGTGCCATTAAACGCTGTAAGTGAGCACAATTTGGATTAGATGCAACTACAATAACCGGCCGTTTTGAACTAGCTGCTAATGTATAAATAGCATCGGTGAAGCCGGCGTCGGTTTGATCAAATACAATGTCAGCATCTTCTATTAGTATTAGACACTTACGAGTCGACTGTGACAATTCGCTATTACTAGAATCACTACCGGTCGAATCAACATTATTTGAGTTTTGTCGCATCATTTGCGTCTTTAGACCGTTGAGTGATTTTTTAAGTAGATTTTTCTTTTGTGATGAACCCGATCCTGCAGCATCTTTACGTATTTGATGTGATTGGGTTGCTTCCTGCAATTCTTGGATCAATTTTTTTCCTGTCCTTTTCATTCCAGCATTAATTTCCAAAACATTGAAATTCATATCATTAGCTAAAGCAAATACAGCATTGGTTTTTCCCGACGATACTGGTCCCAAAAGCACTACTGTATTACAAGAAGCGCCCTGATTACTACAGGAAGAATCATTAAAGTCCATGCTGTCGTCGAAGTTTTGAGAATTTTTTGCACTGCTGGAAGAGGAACCACTCGACCAATTTGAGAGAAAATCTCTCAATTGTGTTACAGGGTTTAAATTAACCAGAACCTGTTCGAACAACAAAGGTTTGTATTTTTCGCTAAACAGCAACTCTCCATTTGGGGCAGCAGGTGGTGGCTTGTATTCCTCATCTGGATTATCTTGTTCGTTTTTACGTTGTTGTTCCATAGAACGCCGTGTTCGTCTTGTTACCACCAAAGAATCCGAAACTTGCTCCGTATCCTGTGCTGAATCTATAGCACTAAAGTAGCGATATTTTTCTCGCATCTGATTGTAGCATTTAAATGTAGGAAATCGTTCAAATTCAGTTTTCCAGTTCTTAATTATGGCTCTCTTGTTGGCCAATGTGGGCAGTAACATATTTTCGATTTTAAACGAATTTTGTATACGTCTGTTAATCTGGTATAAATTATCAAAGCGTTATTTATTACAATAAACCCAATAAACAAAATAGTATAGATGTCGGGCCTGCCTGCATACTCAAAAACTCTCACTGGACTTCTTGTGTTGATAAATGCAGATCATGATCAAAATGTCATCTCGATTGTTCTATATTTAAGCGTATTATATAGGTCATTCAGACCTTTATATTCTAATGAACCTATCAATACATTGCTTCTAGGCATAAAATTACAAATATAAATATAGTAAAATTGAATCTATTTTTTGAGCCTTTCCTCGTTTGGGAGATAATAATTGGATGGTTACGATTTTGAATTTACAGTAAGTCTGTCTGCGTACTCGATATTTTGTAACAATTTGTACAAAATTTTTACATGGAACTTCAGTAATAAGTACTCAATATGTTATTTATGAGATTAAAAGTGATTACTTTTCTTCAAGCTCAGTAAATAAGGTCCTTGCGTATTTGGGTAATGCGGACATTCAGCAAACCCTATAAAGGTGAGAAGGTGGGTATTTTAGTACGCATTGCCTTAAATTAGATTCAAGCCTAAAAATTTTTCAATACTCCGTATTTCAAAATATTTCTCTCAATTCACACTTTACTTTTAACGGATACCCGACAGACAATATAAACCGGCTGAAGTAATTTATATACTAATCCTTACGGAATTAATTTTCTATGGTAATGAACTAAATTGCATATCAACACAAACACTAATTTTAGGCTATTTCAAAATTAAAAACATAACTTCGTACTTTATGTTATGTACAACAAACTATGTATTTACCCTAATGACCAAAAATAAAAGAGTCTTAGAGGATTGCTAAAAATCACATCCGTGCAGATAGTAGATAATTTGTATTAATTATAAAAGTAAATTCAATATATAACTTACCTGGAAGTCCGACGGTGTGCAATCCGAAAAAGTTCCTGTTTGGGAAAGGCGTTTAGATGATTTCCCTTTTCCTCTGCGTGTTGGCGGCGGCGAAGGTAATTGCAAATAAATTTCCTCAGGATGTATTGTATATGTACAGCTAAAACTTTGTTTTTCAATGGCCAATTCAGTCTCAGTTAGTTGTTTAATATGTGATATTTGAGGAAATATTTCAATAGATTCTTCGTAACATTGTTCCTGCTGTTTCTGTTTTTCTTGTTCAATGCGTAACTTTTCGGGTACACCAGAGAGGAGAAAGGCTTTTCGTGCTTTTAAAAATTCTGGATCAGGACTAGGTTTTGGAACAGAACGCACAAACAATGGGGCTAATTTCTTAGGTGTTCCTTGTGGTGTAATATTGCCCATAGTTGCACTCAAATTTGAACTATCATCCAACACAATAACGACGTCGCAATTATCTTCTTCAGGCTTCGTTTTAGCGGATGATTGCTGACAACTTCGACTTCCGCTCTTACGCGCTGGTGTGTTTCTCGTAGCTTTAGATGGACTTTCTTCTAAATCGAAATCATAACGTGCTTTTCCAGTACAGGAACGTCTTGGCCTTCCACTGGGTGTGCCTATTTCTTGGATCAGACAATCCGAATTTGATACTGGTGTTTTTGTATTTTCGCACCTGCTTGACATTTCCTTTGTGCCAATAGGAATTTCTTGGTTTCTTTGTGATTTTGTTAGTTGCCTTTCAGCCATTTCTTTTGGCGACTCTTTTTTCTGGAAATATCCAAGCAGGCTGTCACGTTTTTTGGTTGGTGAATTCAATTTTGCCAAAAACTCTTCCGTTTCTGCGTCAACGGGCTGCTTAGAAAGTTCAACGGAATCCACAGAATCGATTGAACTTAGACGTCGAGTACGTGATGTTCGCTTCTTCGTTTCCACTGCTCGTTCCTCGTCCTTTGGCTTCCGGCCAGTCCTTTTTGGTTTTGCCTTTTCTGCTGATTCTTGTTTTTGATTTTTTACCTTCGGACTGCTGCCATTCACTAGCATCTCTTTAAACCTGTAGTGGATTAATAGCTTAGATTTACATATTTAAGGTGTAGCTATTTCAATCGCTTACCGCTTAGCTCTTTGTTCTAATTGATCTTCCACATAAGCTGCTCTAGCTTCCTCATCAAGTTTTCTTTTGGCTCCTCCTTTCTGCTCGGCCCATTCCTGAAGTTTTAGCCTTCTTTTGACAATTACTTCGTTAGTGTTTTTGTCTGCCACTGGCGAAGGTGAGTCCTTACCAGGAGTATTCGACCCTATTGTCTTGTTACGCGCATTCATCATAACTTCAAAGGCATTAGTGACTTTTGATGGCTTTTCTGAAGCCCTCTCAACTTTATTTCCATTCTCGTGGTCAGCATCGACGTCAATCTCTAGAGTTGTTTCCATTCCTAAAGTCAAGCTTTCTTCAACTTTTTCCTTTTTCGGTGTACGTGGAAAATGCTGCAGAATGGTTCCCGACTTTATTGGGCTTTCTGGTAATACTTTCCCATTCTCTACCGTGGATTTTTCTTGCAAGGGTCGCTTTTTTGTGGGACGTTTCTCCTTGTCACGATGTTTGCTTTTCCTTTCCACATTGCTGCTCGATCTTTGATCGCGCTCATCTAGTTCATCATCAATCTTCTTACTCGAAGTGCCAGCTGACGCTGCTTCTATCATTGCTAATTTTTTGAGTTCTTTTTTGCGTCGATGTTTTTCCTTGTGTTGCTTCTTCACAGTTTGAAGTACTTCTTCCATATTCTGCAATATTATCTTTGAATCTAGACGAGGATAATGAGCCGGAGGTAGTGGAACAATGCCGCGTTCACTGGTTTCATTGTCCGCAGTTGAGCAAGGTGTTGGTATACTAGATGAATTGGTTTCGTTTTCAATAGAATGTGTATTCAAATCGGTCATGCTTCAATCTTCAAATGTATTATATATTACTTGATCAAATGCTGGAGAATAGCATAATTCTCAAATATGTAGACGACAATAAGAATTTCTTTCACTTAATTGAAACAAGAAATAAAAAAATTGCGCGCGTGTTTTGTTTGACGACGACAAGAGGGATATGTAGATCGACTAATCAGCTTGAGTAATGAACCAATGACATGTATGGTAAACAAAACATTAGTTCTGTTCCAGAACCTGGTAGAAGTATTGCCATTCAATTTTGATATTTTTTACTAGATGTTTGTTCCAGCACCATACAAAAATAAATGGCGATTTTAGTTTCAGTTCTAATTTAAAAACAAGATATATGTAGATATCTCCTGTACTTACTAAATGTCGTAATACGTCCTTGGTACAATTATAGAAGGAGGCTGCGAAACTTCAATCACAACTTAACAACAGCCACAGAGAAAATTGTCATTGTATTTAGTGTCATTTTAACTTTCGAATAATTTAAACAAAAATACGAAATCTCAACAAATTGTATTTATTTTGAGAGTAAATTTTTCAAATTTAAGAATAATTATAATCATCTCACTTCGCTATATTTCCTATATTTAAACCGTTTCCAATTGCATGAGAAAAACTCATAAAAATCCACTCAATGAAAGTAATCTCAAATGCCAATTCCATAGCGTATATGTCAAATATAATCTACTGGATTTGTGAACAGGTTTATTGATAAGTTTACAATATACCGGATTTAGTGAACATAGTGGGTTTAAAGTGTTAATTCCATTGTATATTTGTCAAATAAATCCTCATAAAGTTTGTTTAGCCTTCAAAAAAGCACTAATCGTTTAAGAGTCCGTTTAGACTACTAAATCCACTCGATTACAAATGTCAATTCCATGATATGTACTTTATTTTAATCTTATTCATAAATCCCGTGGTTCAGTTCGTCTTCGGACGGCTCACAAGAAAGACGCATTTAAGGAGATAATCACGTCTACGGGCTTAAGAAATTTCAAAATGGCGCTGTGTTAAGTTTTCGCTTAACTTGCCACGTGTTTTATCTATCGAACCAAACTAAAAATATAAGAAAACGTCGTTACGTATGGCGTATGGTCCTATACCTTCTATTTTAATAGAAAGTTAACTAGCTGGAGGAGGAACTGCCTTCAGTATTTAAGGAAAAAATAAATAAATCCAGTGGTTGAGTTATTGAGTGGTCTTCGTTAATATAAACACGTATATACCTCCTTACCACATCGATATTTAAGCCATTTTGTAGGTACATTAATATGCTGCTACATTAAACAGCTGATTGTTTCGGACTTTTTGTTGAACTATAACATGATGCAATAATAAGGTGATGTATCACAACAAAACCCTTTGTTTTTGTCTCGACCATCTGTCAAATTTTTCCATATAATATTTCACATGGTTGGCAACATTGCACATCGACTACAAGTAAGCACTTTGACAGTTAATCGAGACATCAGCTGCGCTAAATGGACTACCTATTAATTGTGCCATGAGCTATACCATGGCACATGGTATAATAATAGAAGGTAACAGCAAGTGTTGTTGTACAAAAAACGATACAACAACCACATGTAAATTTGTTGTTGTAAGTTCTACTAGTGTCAACTCATTTGACAGAAAAATGTAAACAAACAAACAAATTGTCATCAAATTATTTTTATTTTGAAAATGAAATATTTTCGAATCCTCAAAATAAAAATTGGAAAACATGAATGAAAATCTATCAAATTTATATTTCTATCGCTTCCACACCTTTCCTGTAATTGAGCCATTGCCATATATATGTGTAACATATATGAAAATGCTGGGAATAGCGAGTTATTCCTTGAAGAAAGATTTGCTTTCTCAAACTTTCCCAGCAGGCAGATGGAGTAAATTGAATACGGAAGCACATTTAATAAAGAACAATTTCAAATTGCATCCGTTCCCAATTTACCTGTGGGGTGATTTTTAAAAACATAATTTGTCAAATTCATATTGACACTAGTATAACGTTAGAATCAAATCAGCTGGGATTTGCTGTTACCTTTTATAATTGTACCATGACCATGGCACAATGAATAGGTAGATGAATTTGACAGATAATCGAGACAAAAAAAGGTTTCTGTTTTGATACATCACCTTATTATTACATCATGAACTATACCACGGTATATTAAAGAAGGTAGCCGCATGGGCCCAGCTGTTGGTGCAAATAAATGTCAAAAATGTTGTTGTAATAGGTGTGTCTGGTTACTTTTCCAGAAACATTTATTCAGTAAGTTCTAGTTCAGAGAGAAAGTCGATTTTACTCTCTTTTGCGATAATACTGAAAAAAGTAAACAGACAACATTTAGTAAGATTTAGCAAATAAACAGCTGATTCAAGAAAACATTTGATTTGCGCCAAAATAAACAACAATCAATGGACGTACACAAATATTTGTATTGCATTTAATAATAAAAATAAAATGAATAATAAAAGACAAATTGATTTGGTATTTTCCCCGGAAACATTTAAGTTTCCTGCATCAATACATTGCCCTCTATCTGGAACTTGCCTAAAAATATATAAGGAATTAGTTTCTAATTTAATGAAACTTTGCAATACTTACGAATTTTCTTCCATTTTCTGTAATTTTTATGCAAACTTAACTTCAAATTGAACTTTGCAAATTAAAAAAATGTTTTGAATAATGTTTGTGATCCAAAGATGGCTGAGTTTGCAAAATCTTACTGAATAAAATTCTTTCAGTAAACTCCAGTAAGTTTGTTGTTGTTCAACTGTCAAACTTGCTCTCTCACTTGACTCTATTTTACTGGATTTTTGTGTAAACAGACAACATTTAATAACATTTAATTGTTACTAAATATCGAGTAAACAGACAGAGCTAATTTTGAACCAAAAAATTAAAAAAAAAAACAAAATTATAAATAAAAATCTCCGAATTTCGAAGAGCTTGTTTGACAATACTTTTGTTAACATTTTCTACAAGAATTTGTGTAAAAAAATCATGTCAATCTGCTTGCTTTGGCAAAATATTTTCGACATATCAAAATACAACAACCGATGTTTGTTGTAAAAATTCGCTGATGCGGCTACCTTGTATATCTACCTTGAACTATACTTTACATTTCTCAGTAGTTCTGTATTTAGTTGTTTAAAAAAGATAGTTTATGGATAATATTTTTGACATATCAAACCCCTACAGCAGTGTTTTGTTGACATCGACTACAGATGCACCTACCTACTTATCCCTAATCATAATTTGCCTAAACCTCATTCGTAAACTTTCGGTTATACTATTTTGAGTTCGTCTTTATCGGCCATTTTGTCTTCTCCTCCCATTCGTTAGCAGGTACTTTTTTGGGTAAAAAGGTACTGAAAAAAGTACTATTGTACTGAATTTTCCATCCCTGCCTTGTGCTATTTCATTTAATTTCATAATTTTGCTAAATTTATTTTATTTCAATATTGCAAATATTACGGTCAGTTTTAAGCCTATAAGAAATATAATTTTTATAAATTGAATTGTTGGAAAATATCAACAACCAATAAACCAAATCAAAATGGAATGTGACGAACAGAAACACAATGACGACGGGAAGTTTATAAACAAAGAGGATAAACAACAGTTTGGTCACTGCCAAGCCGTGGCTTCTGCTGCCCAAATGCCACAAGGTGCTACGGAAGAGCTTTTACAAAATATACATGAAAAGTCGTCCAACATTTTAAGTAAGTTAAAAGAGAAACGACTAAACTTGCAAAATAAAGTAAATGATGGCTCTGTGGCTGGCAATAGCGATAGCATTTCCAGACAAGTTTTGAAAGCGATGAAAACTACGAAGGTTGCTGCTTCGGTTTCGGAGAGTAAAAGTCACAATACATGTACTATTGAAACTAAATCCTCTTCACAACAAACCTGCAACAATACATCCAAACATGTGCCCCATTCCAATGGAGCTGTGCCCAAAGTGATGGTTAAAACACCGACAGTAGGAAATAAAATTCAAAAAAAGAAAACGGCAACAACAAATATTGTAGAATCGAATGATTCTACACCGATATTTACTCCGGATTATCTGGATAGACACTCTAAGACAGATTTGAAAAGCTTGGTCGAAGGATTGCAGCTATTAATAACCAATCTTACAGTTAATGATAACAATTTGCAGAAGAAAGTTAAAAAATTAGCTGGAGATATTGATGTTTTAAAAGAATTTCCCTTGTTCGCCACTATTGGAAACAATAATCGTCCATCAATGTCAGTAAAATCGACAAATCGGTCTAGTATGAATTGCGAAAAGATAGACGAGAGACCAGTGAAAAAAAATAATGAAGAACAACCTTGTACCAATGAAAGAGCTGAAAATTCGACGAGTCGTAAAAAAGAAAAACAAGAACAAAAATCTAAGAAATGTGAAGTATCAAGTCCTAGGGAAGTGTTCTTAAATTACATAAACTCTTCTCTATCGGAATTTACTGGAGAAGACAAAAACGCCACTAAAGTAGTTTGTACATCGGCTAACCTTGATGATCTGGAAAACTTTAGCCATTTGCTTGTTCAGATGGGATTCGGAAGTATAATAGAAGGCGAAATACGAGTTAACCGAAAAAACAATAGACAAGCGTTCATTTCAATGAGCAATGACAGGGAAACAGTAGAAAGAGATGCCATTGTTACGGTGCCTGCTGCGAGACATTTCGCATTTGATGGAGATATAGTTAGAGCCTTTGTCTTCAATACCAAATCTAATCTCGCGAAATTTGGATGTGTGGAAAATGGTCGGACGAGAACAGAATCTGTAAATATAATGGGTGGCAAAGACAACTCAATTTGCTTGACTGAAGATGAAGACCCTCTTGCCGAATGTGACTCTTCTCCCGATACGGACGTCGAAGAAGATAATGCAACTGCAATCTTACCTGACAATTGCCGAAAAGCATTTGTTATATCGATAGTAAAACAAACGGAGTTGCGAGAAGTTGTTGGTTCCATAAATTTCATAAAAACCACAACTTTAAATTCAAAAGTGTATTATAAACTGAAGCCTCATGACATGAGAATTCCTATGGTCTATATACCCGCTGATTCTTGTCAAGATCATGTAGATGCTGCTAGCCAAGATGACGTAGTTGGAATGCTTTTCTTAGCCCTTATATTGGAAACTGACATTAATGGTAATTGTATAGGAGAATTACTGCAACCTGTGGGAAAAGTTGGAAACTTGGAAGCGGAAATAAAAGCAATTTTGCTTCACAATGGCCTAAAAAACTTGAAACCATACGATCAGAAGTTCTATGACATGTATGATGGACCTATGCCACCGATCACCGAAGAGGATTTGAAGTATAGGGAAGACTTGCGCAAAAAGTGTGTATTTACAATAGATCCCTTAACTGCAAGAGACTTGGACGACGCTATGTCTGTGGAGAAAATATCCGAAGAAGAATATGAAATCGGTGTTCACATTTCGGATGTTTCGCATTATCTTGAAGAAGGGTCGGAACTAGACAATTTGGTCAAAGAAAGGGCCACCTCTATATACTTAGTTAATGAAGTAATTCATATGTTGCCAACATCGCTTTGTTTCCGTTGTTCTCTTTTGCCAGGAGAAGATAAATTTGCTTTTTCGGTCTTTTGGCATTGGAATGTAGCACATCAAACGTTATCCGAACCTAGGTTTACGCGAACGGTTATCAATTCATGCTCACAATTTGCCTACGAACACGCCCAGATGATAATAGATAATCCTGATGAGGAGTTCACCAACAGTGACCTACCGGATATATTCAACGGTTTTACAACAAACGACATAAAATGGCGCATATTGTTATTGCACTCTATATCGCAACATTTGAAAACGAAGCGTTACGAATCAGGTGCTTTGTCAATAAATAATCCAAAGTTGAGATTCAACCTAGATCCTATAACTGGCGAACCACTTTCGTATGAAATTGAAGGGCGCAAAGAGGCCAATTATTTAATTGAAGAGTTTATGCTTCTCGCAAACCAAGCTGTGGCAAAATTCACCCATGAGCATTTTCCTAATGCCGCTATTTTGCGTAGTCACGCGCCCCCTCTGCAAAAATCTATGCGCGCTCTCAAAGATCGATTGGAAAATTTGGATTTGGAGTTTGACATTAGTACGTCAAAGACTGTATATGAAAGTATGAAACGACTTAGTCAGACTAGTGAAGATCCAACAGCAATTGAAGCCTGTCTTAATACGTTTTTAACGAAACCAATGGCTCGGGCTCGGTATGTATTTGGAATAACAATAAAAATTGGTACAATTAATTTTAATAAAGATTTCTACGTACTTTTACAGGTACTATTGTAGTGAAGGTAAATCAGCTGAGGCTGATTTCTGGCATTATGCCTTGTCTATACCAATATACACCCATTTCACCAGTCCGATTAGACGTTATCCTGATATTTTAGTTCACAGGTATTTTGTTTTTCTTTTTTATTTGAATTTGTACAAGTAATGATTATTAATGTAACGTTAGAACACTTGCTGCATCATTGAATTACTGCCCACCGCCAAAGCGAACGGCGGAAGAGCTGCACGAGTTGACCAAAATTTGCAATGAACAGAAATTCAATGCCAAAAATGCAGGCGACGAATCGATTGATCTGTTTTTCCATCGCTATATACGTTCGAAAGAATCCATAACGCTCAAGGCTGCTGTCACAGATATATTTAAACATATGTTAAATGTTGTTAGTATTGAAACGGGTCATACTTTCACCATTAATTACAAACAACAGAAAGTTATAATAGACGCTACACATGCACCAAAATATGTGCTGGTTTCAGAGAAAAACTCCCAGTTGCCTCCAGTGAAATTGCAAATATTTTCCACGGTTGATATACGAGTAGTTTTGCGGGACAACAAGAAGTGTGCATTCATCATTTCGCCTGACAAAACTCAAAGGCGTCTCAATAGCAAGGAATCTTCGAAGCTTCGTGATAAAAATGTACTAAACACCACTGCCAATGGCGTTCAAAACAATTCCATACTTACATCAGAGGGATCCTCAAAGAAAAAGACTAATAGAAAGCGGCGTGTAACAACACAGAAGAAGAGTGAAATAGTTTATGCTGTGAATGAAGATTAATTATTTTCATTTCATTCGTATGGACAAGAAAAATATTTCATTTCATTTATTTCATACAATAGAAACGCATAAGCTTAATATAGCCAAATTTATGAGTTATATATTTCTTTCATATATGCATATGTGTATATAAATAAATTTTTAGTATTGAATGTACTTGCGGATATAAAAAATAGTTACGTTGAATAACATACATTACTTTTATTTCATGTTTATTAAATAAAAATTATTATTTTACATCGTATGTTAATGCTTCATTTTAAAAGCATTGCCGTGCTGTTATTTAGAATGTAAAGTAATTTATGCATAAATTACAACTTTTCTAAGAAGTACAATTTGGAATAAAATTGAGTCGTGATATTAATCAAATTGTAATTAATTTATTATTTTAATAATAACGAACCAATAAAATTTGCATTGAAGACATTTTATTTGAAAATACTTTTGATTTGCATTTTTCATTTTATTGGTAAGAGTCTATTCTAGTTGATAACATACACAATGATAGATTAAAATGTTTTTGTACGCGATAACAACATTTGGTTTAGTTTTGTTTTTCTATTATGTTACTGTATTTATATTTCTCTCTCTTTTTGTATTCCTTGCGCTTTTCTGCATGAATATTTGCAATGAATGTTCCTTAAATAATCCGTGAACGTTTCTGCTCAAGATCTTTATTTGTTGAATTTTAATCTGACTTATGACCACTGGTCTTGTTTTAGCTAACTTTTGGTTGTGCTATGTAAACAATACATAGCGATTCGGGATATAATGTTAATGTTCACTGGTAGTTGTGTGGTCAGCCCCTTCCGACAATACTTCTCCGCTCACTGGCTCAATACAAGATATGTTTTAGGTTTCAAAAAGAAAATCAATTCATTTAAAAAACTAAAAAAAAAACACTTCTTTCTATTGGTACCTACGGAGTAGTCATCCAATTAATCAAAACCTTTTTTTGTGTAATTTTTGTTACTGTGTAATAATTTGTTACTGTTTTTAAATTGGTAAAATAATTTTTTTAGTAGTTTAGTATCCCTCCCTTTTACATTTAAGCCGCTTTATAATGATGAATCTTATATTTAATTGTGAAATTTTTTTACAGCCTTTAATGCCATGTATTTTGAATCATTAATAACATTTGCACAAGTGTCGGTGCTACTAAGCGAGTGATGCTTATTTCCGGGAAATACTGTATACACAACGCTTGATTTGTCTCCAGGAGGAGTCAATTGGTGTTTGTTGTACAGATTTTATTTAGGAGAGCACTGAGTGTTTTTGAATTTATATTTAAATTGGAAATTTCAACTCATTTTAGAAGTATAAAAACAGTTCAGTTGGCCCGTTTATTTTGTATAAATATGTCATATTGATTGCGGTAATAATCTAAATCAATATTCTAAAGTTCCGAATATTTCATATGAATACAAAGTAATAACGCCGACAACATTTTGTTTTGATATTGTTGTATGTTAAATTTGATTAAAAAATGCAATTTAAAAAATTTCAAATTTCACCACGTATTTATTCGTGTAAGTGTGGGATTTCAAAAAACATATTTTTTATAATTTTTGGGTTTCACTTATTGGATTTGGGAAATTAATTTTTAAATAAATGTAAAATAACACTACCTTGCATACGAAAATGCCAGACAACAATATAAACAAAAAATACCTGTTTTTAACTTGCATGTCATTGTTAAAATACGAACTACATTCTCAGCCCAGATTTGTGATTTTGTCTACTCGTTTTACCTTCAACTCAAACCGAAAAAAAAACAAAAATCCCATTGTCTTATATAAAAAAGTACCGATGCAAATACGTGTATGTTAAAAAATGTGTGGTTTTTAGTTGGCCGCAGGTTGCTCGGATATTCGATGAGATAAGTAGCACACATATACGAGCTTCAATATGAGATTGGTAGAAGAGATGTTTATGAACTTATCAATGTCAATTCAGACTATTTTAGTGAGTATTGGTTTCTTCTTTATTCACACTTGAAAAACCTCAGAAGTCGAACCAATATTGAAATAAACATTTAGTCACATTTTTGATATTGTAACATCAGTACATTGTTTGGAGAACTAGTTTGACCCATACGAGCATTAAACTGCGGACAAGTGAAACATGAAAATATTAATAAGTTTTGGTAATAACATATTTGATAGAGTAAAAATGCAAAAAAAAATAAATAAATAATAGCATAGGAAGTAAATATATTGATATTTACAATTTAAACTGCATTTATGTACATAATATCTGTATAAAAATATATGTGATTGTTTATATTAATTACTGTGCTACAGTAATTATGGAATGATATATTGAGTACAATATTACAGTTTTCAGAAACTGTAAATAAAGTAATCTGGAAACTGTAATCGACATAGTATGTATGCATCAAAAATTAAAAGTAATGAGTTTAATTCAAACTTCTAACTACTGAAGAGAATATCTCATGTAGCATTTGTTTGCGATTATATTTCTCTAATTGTTATTTTATAAATTTATTTCGTTTTACAGTGATTTTGTCATTGCTACAATGTCATGCTTTGGCCAGACCTCAATTTTTCCCGCAACAATTCCCAGGCATAGGAAATAATCGAAATCCATTCTTTCCAACGAATAATAACAATCAAGGAAATATAGGCAATAACATTAATCAAGGAAACATTGGCGTTAACAATGGGATTTCATCGACCACAGTTGCTCCGAATACACCAACTACCGCATCGCCACAGTATTTGTTGTGTCTACAGAGTTGTCCATCCACTATGGAATACAATCCAATATGTGGTTCGGATAATATAAATTATCACAATAACGGTCGTTTAGTATGTGCTCAAAGATGTGGTAAAAGTAAGTACATTTACATTAGTTGGAAGGAAATATTGAGTGACATTACTTAATAATATACCTTAATGGGTTCTTTTTAGGTGTGTCCGCTTTACGTTCCGGAATCTGCAATCCTCAATAAACCTGTCTTTTTAATGCGTATATTTTAAAATAATTTTTATACTCAAATGTTTTTGTAAAATATATTTATACAACTCAATTAAATACAATTTAAGACATTTTTATTTTACAAAATCGAGATTTTTATAAAATATACATTAGGCCGGTCGTTGAAAATGTCGATAAAATCGGAGAAATGATCGGCATGTTAGTAGTTGTTGTCGATCTTGGTCAAAGAGCGGTGAAACAACTTAAACGGTGGCGAAACCAGGACTAACGGTCAGGAAGGTTCTGTTATGCATTTGGTGGGACTGGAAGGGAATGACTTGCATCCATATTCTGATTTCTACTGTCAACAGCTGGACCGAAGATAGCAATTGACCAGAAAAGGCCAGAATTGACCAACAGGAGAGGTGTCGTGTTCCACCAGGACAACGCTATGCCACACATCTACAGTGACTCGCCAGAAACTTCGGAAGCTTGGTTGGGAAATTTTAATGCATCCGCCATACAGTCCGGACTTGGCACCAAGCGATTATCATATTTCTTGCATTGTAAAATTTCTTTAATGATAAAAAATTGGTATCTAGGGAAGATTGTGAAAATCGACTACTAGAGATTTTTTTTTGCAAATAGAATGCAGGACTTCTATGAGAGAGGCATTATGAAGTTACCTTTAAAATGGCAACAAATCATACAACAAAACGGTGTATATTTAGCCCAAATCGGACATCCCGAAGCATTCGTTTCGAATGAATTTCTCTCCACACATGAATTTCACTCCACCCTTAGACACATAGGCAATCTACAATTATACAAAAAGGTCAACATGTCAAGATTTGATGTTTTAAAAGATGATGAAAGCAAAAAAGTTGCTCCATGTTGTTTTGTATGTGTGTATGCCTAACAAATAAAGCTAAACGCTCTGGAAGAGAAACAAGTTAACATTTGGGACAAGTCGACAAAGAGAAAGGAATGTGAAAAACGAGCAGTCGTTTAGAATAATGATACAAAAAGTACATTTGAGTGGATAACCTAAAATACAGAATGTAATATTGCATTTTTTAAAGATTGGGTTTTGAGACCAATTTGTTACCGAATTTGTATTTATAGTATTCGATGACAATGAACGGAGGGCCAAAGGCGATAGAATTCGCATAAGTATTCAGAAATGAAGTCTAGCTTTTAATCATTGGTCATCAATGGGATTCAAGATTATCTCATTCATTGCTTTGTTTTCATTTCTTTGAGAGACAGACAACGATTTCATTGGAATTGTGAATCACATACAATATTTTTCATATACACATTTAGTACAATATCATTGGTCCGACTGTGAAGATCATTTGAATTCTTAATAAAATAATACGACTCAGAAGTATACGAAATTGAGTGAAATCAAGTGGAAAATGTTACGATTACGAATAATATTCGCATATGGTATGTGCAACAAGTTTAGAGGATACATGCTAATACAAAATTCCGAATTATGTTTATTTAAATAGGCGACATATATATACTTACATTATGTATGTTTTCACACAAGAAACTTTTCAATTGGAATCATTTTAAATATATTCACTAAATGCGTTTAAAGCTGTCACTTCAGGCCATTGGATAAAAGTAGCAGAGCTGCTACAAGAACAACAACTAAACAAATTTACAGCTTTACCTCTATCTCATGCAATTTGGATCCGATCTGAATGAAATTTAAAAAGCTTAACATTGCCTCGCTCTATTGTTATGATATCTATTGGAATTCATTGGCTTTAACGTTTTAAGCCTAATTAACATGTTTTACAATTTAGCTTCTGGATCTTTTTTGAAAACATAATTTGTCATAGCGAAACTTAGACGAGTATTATGTGGTATTATTGGTATCGGAACCGGCAAATTTACTGATTTACGTCAATCTCCAGCAAACATTTTATATACGACTAAATAAAAAAAATCGTTACTGGGATAGTCGCTTATTACATATCGCTCATTTGCTGCAAGACATGCATAACTCAAATAACGTTATTTTCGAGTTAATGGTGTATTAATTAGAGTGTGTAAGAGATACACACTCTAATTGAGAAGCTGTAGAAGTTCCTCTGTCTCATATAAAGTGTGAGTAAATTGAAAACTTAAAACGCATTTTTGAGTTATGCCTGTCTTGCAGTGAATGAGCGATATGTACATTTCTATGTAACCAGACACAGCGTGAGTAATAAAATTAAATGGTCAATTATAAAAATAGAAGTTCATAGACAAATTACAGAAATGGATTGTTGAGTGAATTTTTAGTTTATTATTTGTACACTAGCATCCTTTTTAATGAACAGATATTTACATTGCATTTTATTTACATATATTTTTATTATTTTTTTAGCGTTTCTTCTTAACTGTGCCTTTGCATTTCCCGACTCACGAAATCCAAATTTGGAATATGAAATCATAAATCCCAGTGCTCCACAGCTAAATGATAAACCAGCCTTAAACCCTATACCCACAACCCCACATCCAGTTATAATCAACACCCCACCAACACCTCCAAAGGATTCGAAAAATTTCGTGTATAATCCTGTAACTAAAACATGGACAGAGTTGAAGAAAAATGATCCACCACCAGCTGAGGATGCTCTTATTTGGAACCAAAGTAACGATATATGGTTAACAATGGTAGCACGCATATAAATAACAACTATTGTAATACTATACTCATTGTTATTTTGTAACCCTACATTAATAAAATAGTAAAACAAATCTTAAGCCATGTTTGAGTAACAAGTGTTTTATGAAAATAATGTATGCTATCCCCTACACAAAAGCAGCAAATTAATTATTTCTAGCATGTTCTGGAAGAGAGCAAAGGCGTAGGATAAATTTACTACAAAAATAGTTTTATTATAAATAATACTTTTATAATTAATACTTTATTATAAACAAATACGAAGCATCAAACTTTAAAAGTTCTCTCCGATCTCATTGCCGATTTTTGATCCATTACCATTTTGATGCGACACAACTCTTCGACGGCAAAATCCAATTTCTTGCCACAGGTGTCGGTGAACTTATCCAACTTTTCCGATAATTCTCCAACTTGTGTTTTCAACATTTGAATTTCCGAACGAACATCTGATATACCATTAACGTGATTTTTGAGTTTTGTTGCCAAATCAGATTCGCCCATCAAGGTATTGGGAACATTTGTGGCTGATCGAGGTCTTAACAATTGTTCGTGCTCCGGCCGTGTGCCAGTTTTGCTGTAATCCATGGCATTATTGCGTACGGGGGTCCTCTCTTTACGCTGCACTGAATTTTGGCGTTGTAATGACCTTTGGAACATTGAATAATTTGACTCAAACTTTCGCCTTCGTATACTCATGTTACGGTCACGCCGTTCGGCAACTAATTTATAGATATTCAATTTGATATCTTCCGGAAGTTGATTATCGCGTGGGTCATTGGGTCTTATAACAAAAAGAAGCTTATTGCGAGAAGTTCTAAGGAGCGCACTCCTCTTGCATAGTTTTAATAGACGTGTGGGTGCTCCTCTTAATAGTCTGGAGAAGAACAAACTTTCCAAACGGGACACCAATTCAGCCTGGCGTACTAGTCGATCCAAAGAGGCGGATACTTGAAGTCCTTGAATATCGCTGACAGCCAAACCCACCATAAGATTTGTAAGAATGACAGTTACCAATAGCACGAAACTAAGGAATATGAAATGAGCCGTCACTGGATACTGTACTTCTACATCACCATAGAAAATGTCTTCGAATTCCAATTCACCGGACATCATCGTTATGGATTTCAGGAGGGACCTGCACGATTGCGAACCGTGTTAATAAAATTTGACAAAAGTGTGGAAAATGCATGCGCTCACCATGTTATATTAGTAAACGCCTTGTAGTCATTGAAAAGCACAGAAAAGCTTAAACCAAAGGCTATTAAAAGGCAAATATAGGCCAATAGGAATTTTCCAAAATTCACAGCCACTTTGGTAAACATTTGAACATAAACTCCAAAGATTGGAAATCGACCGACTAGCATCATAAGCTCCACCCAAACTAAGAGAACCACCACCGCCGCCACATGATGCTGCCACACAGGAACCTTTTCCAATTCTCCTACTATCAAAATTTCTGGTGTCTTTCGGTATATTGCATTAAAGGATATGTTATTTATAAGTATAGGTCCTATAACTAAAAACTTACCACACACAACAACACACCGAAAATAATGGACCACTGTAACCAATTTTCCCAATATTTTGCATAGCCTTGTAAACCATGGGCCATCTAAACCAACGAAGTTAATCAATAAATTAGCGACGACGCTTTCTCGATTGTCTAATTTTCAATATTACCTGAAACAATTCCTTTCCCAGAAGAAGAAGGTTTAGAATTATAACAAAGTAACCAACTGTTGGAATATAGCCGGGAGCTCGGCACTGCATATCCTTTTCACAATGGTGAACGTAAACCCCGACTATATACATCGTGAAGAGTATGACATAAATGGCATGGTATAGCAGAGCCATGAGGAAGAATTTACGAATTCGTCGCCATTTCAAGAATAGAAATGTCTCACATAAGGGGTGCATCAATAAACGTTTCTGGCCACATTCAATAAGAGATAGTAGTAACTCGGTCTCGCCACGTTCTAGGGTCCCAGGCGGAACCAACCAACGAAAATCTAATTTTATCTCACAATCAACGTCTCCAATTTCATGATCATTCACTTTGATGGATTCATCGAATTTCGACATTAGTTTGGGTATAATTTCGGGAGTTCGTCGAACTATGAACGATAAAGCAGACACATTGCCATCTGTTCGGGCCGTAATGTCGGCACCGTGTTCTGTACAAATAGAATTAGTTTCGAACGAATTTCAAAATAAACGTGATTATCCGGAAATGCAAGTGAAGTCAGGCAGTAAACTTACCTATAAATGCATAAACACAGTTACTAAATTCATTCAGAGCGGCGATGTGTAGCGGCGTATAGCCGTAATTATCAGCCTTGTTAACATTGGCCCCTGCCTTCAGCAAGGCGGTACAGCAGTCAAGACAACGTGATTGTTTGACAATGGCTGCATGTAATGCCGTTCTCCCGTCGCGATAGACTGCATTCACATTCGCGCCATGTTTTATTAGCAGTTCAACAGTTTCGATTGACTGTGAAAGGCAGGCTAAGTGCAAGGGTGTTTGATGGCTAGCATTGCGACAATCGACCTCAGCATTGTGCTCTAAAAGCAATCGGACACAATCGACGTAATCATTTTCGGCAGCTAGAAGGAAATATAAATAAATTTACAAACAATCATGAATACAGGTGACGATGCATACTTCACTTAGGTACATTATGATTATGACTTTTAGATTTTTGCTCATAAAAATCATCTATCGATAACCAAAATAGGGTCTATTTCATTTAATTATTTAAAAAGGTCCCGCAAAATCCACTTTGGCATTATGTTTTTGTGTAAAATGTCTTTTAAGTTTTTTAATTGTACATTCCAAAAACGGAAGAAAGTATAATTTTGTAAGTTCCACGGAAACTACAGAGTTTTTTTTACAATTCAGTGTAGGTATGTTATTTTTAATTGATTGCATTTATTTGTATGGGACGCTGAATCCTTTTATGATTTTCACAATTAAAGTGAAATATGTGCTAGGTTGCAAAAAAGTCATAATCCTATAAACATTCAATCAAGAACAATTTCTCTTACCCAAATGTAGAGCTGTTAGTTTACCCTCTCCAAACTGAGAACGTACATCGGCGCCATAATTTAACAACAATTCTACACATTTTGTAAAGCCCAAGGCACAGGCGGTGTGCAGGGGCGTTTCCGTGTAAACTTGTGGCGTATTCGGGTCCGCACCATACTTTAGAAGAGTCTCCACACACTCAATGGCATTCCGATCGATTGCAAAATGTAATGCCGAACGTTTTTCGAGGCCTATATTTATGTGCGCCTTACGCTTCAATAACAGCAGGATGCATTCAACGCTCTTGGCGCTGGTTGCACAATGCAGCGGAGTGACTTCTTTTTTAGCATCCCAACGATTTGGATCGGCACCACGGTCCAAAAGGACTTTGGCAATGTGCGAATTCCCTCGTGCTGTGGCAAAATGCAGTGGGGTCCTACCGCAGGGGTCACAACAATTTGGATCGCTGCCACAATGGTCCAGGAGATATATAACATTCTCGACGCATCCGTAGATCGAGCAGTAGAGCAAGGCCAATTGGGCATCATTGGACGCGGGTATTAAATTTGTGAATGTGCCGGTCTTCACCATTTGTGCAACTGCAGCTGCGTTATTCAATTGGCCTAAGGTTTCTTCGATTTCTTTGCTGTCCCACAGTACTTGGTGCTGTTGTTGCCACATTAATATCTCGTGAACTTCATCGCTGAAAATGGTGTCGCTATTACTTTCACTGGAAATACTTCGTTCGTAGAAAACCTCATTGTCAATGCCACTTTCAGAATTGCGCTTCAAATCATTTTCCTTGATAAGTGTGAAAAACAAAACATGAATGAAATAGAATGGAATGTGTTGAAGATCGTCGTCGTTATGTGCGAAATGCTCGGTTGTACTCTACATCTGGCTAGACAGACAATATGTATTTCAAGAAGCAATAACAAAAATCGTAATCTCAATATGTATAAATCGTAGCTCTGGTATCAAAAATATACAAAAAATACTACATAATATTAAGTATCTTGACATATCCGCGTCCTTCGTAAAAATAAATATATTCAGTTTATTTGTCATACTCTTATTTGTATCAATTACAATCGGATTTTCAGATTACGATTGTTCTTATTATTCGGGGAGACGCAAATATACCAAAATTACATTAGCCAATTTTACTTGTGGCAATTGTCAGTTTGTGGGCGAGAGAGGCGAAGGGTTCTCATTGTCTCAGCTACAAAAACTGAATTGAAGCACTTAAAATTGCCTAATGTGAATCAGGACATGCTTCTAATACAGAGTACAATTTATATTTCAAGCACATATGAGTAGAACATATTCAATTCTCCGAAAGGTTACTAACAATAATTGAAAACCGCACGTTCTCCATTACAGCTATTCTTTGGATATCGTTTGAATTTTTACTTATATTGAGTACAATCAATAAAAGGAAGAGAGTTCAATAATCATATTAGGAAAAAGCACAAATTTTGTGGGAATTTATTTTGCACAATTAAATCATCCGAATACATAAATAAGAACCGACACTCATCATTTTTAATTATTCTTGGATAAATATTGAATATTTCAACATTTGTTTATTTTAACTGAAATTATTGGATTCCAAAAACGCTTTCGCACGCACACAGACAGACCGACAGATAGACAAACACACGAAACATACGACGACCGTCTGTATTTTCCGTTATGGAGCTCTTAACAGTTCAATAGTTTCCTCTCGACTGCTGATCATTTTGGCCAAAACAAGCTAAGAATTCTTATTGGGAGGAAGTCGATGATCGTGATCTTGTCACTGATGAAAATGATAATCGTGTTCCTCTTTTATTTGGTTTTCGTGTTTTCTTAAGCAAGGCACTTGTTCGACCATTTGTTCTCGGATAATTGCATTGTTTTGGATTATCGAACGAGCGAACGAGCTACGTGAACGCTCGCTATCGCTGGTTTGTTGCGTTTGTGTAAATTAGATGCTCACAAATCAAAACAAAAAGAAAAACTAAATTTATCAATGAAAATGTGTGAAAATATTTGTTCCTATTGTTTTGGCTGGTTTTGTTTAGTTTAAATGCATTGAAATATTTCGAAATGGTACCAATATGACGCCACAAGCGAAAGGTGGATGGCGTATAAGAAACAATAAGTATTTGAAGTAAAATGCAATTTTACAGCTCTACATTATTTTCGTTGATCAACAGAATCGAATTCAATAGTATGTGTATAGACATTTTAAAATGTATTATATTGCGTATGTATGTTATTGTCTTCAATATTATGACAAATGGGTCAATTGAATCGAGCTTACATATATAGACATACGCCCACAAAAATATTCTAAAGTCAGGAATCACAGAAATCGGCTCTCAAGAAGACCATTGTAACGAGAGCTGCGTGGCATGTGTACTTTCTTAACATAGCACACATCTTATAGTTGTATTTATACCCTACACAACTATGTTGTCATGGTATTATAGCTTTATGCAGCCCAAATGTTTGTAACGCCGCGAAATATTGGTCCTAGACCGACCTTTAAGTATACCGAGGAGAGGAGTGGTTGGCCTTTAAATTGATACCAAATATAATGATGTATCTACTCAGATGTGGGAGTTACAGTCAAATATTTACAGGTGCTTACGTATTCAGATATTATTTAGTAACCCATTAGCACATTAGAGGGGGAAATATCGCGCTGATGGCTTTAAAATTGTTCATGAAGTTCCAGTTATGGTCGAGAACAACGCCTAGAATTTTCGGTGATGATCAGATTAAAATTTTGGGATGAAATGAACCGTAAACTTAATTTTTTGTGTGTTTTCGAGTCGAGTATAATCCGAAAATCACAACACAACCCACCGAGAAGTTAATCTGGACAAGTAATTAGAAGGACTGTACTGAATATTCGAAAAAGTAAGGAAGAGGAAGAGGCAAGAGGGGGCAAATATCACGAAATATTACTCAGACTCGGAATAAACATCCTCAGAAAGTTAGAGTTCGTAGTAGTTGTGTAGGGTATCGTATGGTAGGCCCCGTCCGATTATACTGCTCCGCTCACTGGTTTTATTTGTAATTTTGATTGTTTGTAATGTTGCAGTTTTTAACAGGTAAAAATATTAAAATAAGGCTACCAGATTTCAGAAATGAACATAGATGACATCGTGAAAAAATTAAACAATTTTTTAATAGTTTACAACATCATCATTAAAAAAATTTTCTATTATGTTGGGGGAAAAAGAAATACACTATTTTTCGGCAGATGGCTGTACTGATAGATTTCTCGTAAAGTATCGATCAACCAATTGAAGATTTATTCTCGATGGAGGGTGACATTTCGCAATAAAAAAATTATTTCGCTGTTTTTTGCATACAGAGAAAATGCGGTACATTTCACAACTTTTCTTTGACAAAGGCGAAAATGCAAGCCAATCGGCTAGAATTGTGAATTGTGTTTATGGTTCCGATACTGTAACAACCAATTATGTGAAATTTTGGTTCGAAGATTCTGTTCAGGAATTTTTGATGTTAAATATGTTCCTCGCACAGTTAGGCCGGTCGTTTTAAAACTTTTTAAATTTTAAACCATTTACAATTGTCGTGTTCTAACAGGACAACGCTAGGCCACACACATCTACAGTGACTCGCCGGAAACTTCGAGAGATTGGCACCAAGCGATTATCATATTTTTCTTGCATTGTAAAATTTCTTTAATGATAAAAATTGCTATCTATGTATGATGGTGAAAATCGGCTACAAGAGTTTTTTTGCAAATATAAAACCGGACTTCTATGAGAGAGGCATTATGAAGTTACCTTTAAAATTGCAACAAGTCTTACAGCAAAACGGTGCATATTTAGCTCAAATCGGACATTCCGAAGCATGTTAAATAAAGTCATATAGTTTATATAAAAATAATGGATTTATTTTTCCCCAACCTAATATATTTATTTTTTATTATTATTTTTTTTTTTAATAAAAATAATAGTATGTATATAAAACAACAATTAGATTAACTTATAAATACATAAAATGTGTTAGCAAGCCGATAAGTACGACCGGGCCAAATTTTTGGTCCGATGCGAATAATCTTGTTTTTTTATATAAGGAACATAGCACAATTATACAAGGTAGGGTAGCTTTTGTCAAAAAGGTAACATATTTTGTAATAGTCACACAGTCCAGTCACACATTCTGTATATGACTTTGGCAAAACAAGACACAGTATGAAAAATGATAATTTATAGGTTGCTATGGCCTACCTTGAATAATAGTACCATGTACTCAGGGTACTATTATTCAAGGTAGGCCTATGTCCAGGGATATTTTGCAACCCATAGGCTACAAGGAATAGTAAATTACAGCCACTTTTGAAGCCATATTTTCGCAAATTAAAAATAAAATGAAAAGATGAGTTTCTAGAAACATAGAACCCAAAAAATCAAATTACAGCCAATTCGGTTTCAAAGCGTGTCGATGAACCCCGAAAATAACAAAATCTAATACAGTCGACGCACGGTATAACGAATAATCAGTTTAACGAGTTCGGAATATAACGAATGAGCAAAACAGTCGACTTTTTCACGGAAAATCGCATATAATGCCATGTACAGACGAGCGTTGTTCGCTCTCTCATTCGTTGTTCGAGCCTTAATTATGAATTAATTACTTAGTTCCCCATACAAAATTGTCTGAGCGAACGCCGACTTTTGTACGTTGTTCAATTCGAATCACTCTCTGAATAACCAATAAATTTGTCCCATCCCTAACAATTGAGAGTATTTATCGAAAATAAATTAATTTTTACAGTTTGAAAATATTTATGAAATTTTCAAACTTTTTCAGTAAAATTGAAAAAAAAATGAAAAGTAAAAAAATTTTTTTTTATATATGCAGCAGGATGTAAATTTAGTTTTCTACATAATGCAATATGCATTTCTTTTCCCTTGGTTCTAATTAGCGTACAAAACAAGAAACAAATGTGAGGCAACTCAAACAAAAAATTCTCCAAATTTTTATATGTGACAGTATGTGACATTTGAATTGAGACATGGTACAATTATAAAAGGTAACAGCAAATCCCAGCTGATTTGATTCCATTACTTGTCAATATGAAAAAATTATGCTTTTAAAAATCACCCAACAGGAAAATTGGGAACGTAAATTTGAAATTGTTCTTTATTAATGTGCTCATATTCAATTTAGTCAGGCCTGAAAGAGAATTATTTTTTCTTTTAGATCCCTATTAATTGGCATATATATTACATTATATATGGGAATGGCTCAATTAAAAAAAGATTGAAATAAAAATAAATTTGATAGATTTTCATTATGTTTTTCAATTTTTATTTTGAGGATTCAAAATAATAATAATTTGTTTGAAATTTTTTTGTTTGTTTACATTTTTCAGTCAAATCAGTTGACACTAGTAGAACTTACAACAACAAATTTCCATGTGGTTGTTGTATCGGTTTTTGTACAACAACACTTGCTGTTACCTTTTATTATTATACCATGGAATTGAGAAAATATAAAAATGTATTAAAAAAAACAACATTTTCAGAAAAAATGGAAAACATGAATGAAAAGTAAATAGCTATGGGTTCAACTATAGTCAGGAGAAAGAGAATTATTTTTTCATTTATAAATTCACTAAATTGTTTTGTTAATTTTTTGGTGTAAAACAAGAAACAAAAAGTTTGAAATAAAAAAATTTGATGACATGAATTATGAATAGTGTTGTATGAACGGGTTAATTCATGTACGTAATTCTGAGAGCGAACTACGTTGTTCGAATGCCCGTGGGCATAACTAACGTTTTCCAAATTTATATACTAGGTATAAGAAAATATGTAAACACGTAATTATTACTGTTATTACGTTAATTAATATATATATTTTTTAGAAATCCATTGAAAAGTGGATTAACTTTTTTGTTTTCAAATAAAATTACACTTTAAAAAACTTCGCGATATAAAGAATTTTTCGCAATAACGAATGGGTATGGCAATATATCATGCGTTATACAGGGCGTTGACTGTAATTAATAATTTTTAGGGATTTTTTTTTTACCTAATTCCAACTCAAAATATAAAATAACAGATTGTGCGGTTAGAAAATGTGTCTTAAAATCCTTAAATAATACCGAAGAAATAAGCTAAAATTCGGACCCTTTTCCATCATTTGTTGGGGTTAACTAAGGTAACGCAGTACACAGTAAGTAATACGCAGTACACAGTAATACACAGACTATCATAAACATATTATAAACTGAATCCTATGATGTGAATATGTGTCTATTCAAGCATTTTCATACCGCATATTTATATGTTCAAAATAAAAATTACCCTTCAGACCTTTTGGAGTAGAATTACAAGTTTCAAAGTTTTTTACGAGTTTTCTCACTGTGTAAAATTTAGCCAAGCAAAGTTATTTTATTAATTAGAAATTGCCTTTCTCGAAGAATTCGGCTACTGATGGTTGATATATAATTCACTAATGTAATTACTATAATAATTAGACTTTAGTAATCACCAATTTCCTCAGAAATTCTCTGTTGATGCTCTCATGAATTAGCAAGTCTTTTGCTTTCAAGCATAAAAATAAGGCGACAAGGTAAAGGTGGTTGAAAGGACGTGTCATTTGTTTTATTTTCAAACAATCCAGTGCTCATATATTACGGGCATTAAAACAAAATTCTCAAGGACACAAATCTAGGTAGAATGAAAATTCCCATGAAATGTTTCCTTTTTGTAAAACAATATGTACATATACAGGCAGAGAGAACATATTAAAAATCCATATAACCCACATGGATAATTTCAGTATTCAGTATATGAAAATATACAAAATTGGAAGGAACAAGTTTATAATTAAAAATATTAATCTTATGTAAAAATTGACATTTGAGTTTATCGCACAAAAAATGATTAATATTAATTTTTTACCTCTATTAGGATTTATTTCATATACTGGATTTCCTAAATTAAATAGAATATAAATATACTATCGTTTTTTTTCTTTTTTCTGATTTACATAACAAATGGCTACGTCGTTCAAATGGCTAAAACGACATGTACATTAAAACTTTTTACCAGGTTATCCTATTCTATGAGGATTTATTTGACAAATATGCATTGGAATTTACAATTTAAACTGGGTTAACTAAATCCGGCACAATGTAAATGTACTATAATGCCATGTTCCATCGTATAAAAAAAAATGGAGTTAAAAATTCTGAAGAAAATTGACAGGAAATACTGTTCTAGAGATGAATTTTTAATTGAAATCGCTTTATTATTTTTGGGACCTGGGTTAGCATAAAACCAATAGTCTGTATTTTATAGTCACTGAACTTAATCACCGACCAGGTCAGTCATAAAAGAATTATTGTAGAATCTTGATATAACAATTTATATATTGTCAGCCCTTATTGCTATATGGAAAATATCACTATATCGAATGGCATTTTGATATATCGTATGACAGAACAATTTAATTTATTTATAAATATTCATTTTTATTAGTAACAATATGAATTTCTGTTTTAATTTCATTAAAATTTAAATTCAACCTTTGTTTGTTTATGTGGAACTTCAAGGCTTTGGATTATATATCCTTGAAGTTGTCTTGAAGCTATCGATTACAAATATTATTCGGGTCGCTCCATTTTACACGCGCTCCGCAATGTTGTATGACATCCGAATTCTTTCCTTTCAATGTTTTGGACATTCTCATGAATTTTTGTTTATATTTTCAAAGGAAATTTCATTCCATTGGACTGGACTAATTTTTCCCCGGGTATTTTCATATAATAAATAATAAAAATTTAGATTTGATAATGGCAATATTGAATTCATATATCAATTTCAAATACAATAAAATCAGTTCTTCTTCGCAAGAAGGACACATTTTAAAGAGTTAATCAGGCCTACGGGCTTAACAATTTACAAAGTGGTGCAGTGTTGAGCTTTCGCTCAAATTCTACGCGTTTTATCTACTGAACTAGACAAAATATAAACAAAATATTTGATTATGATTGTTACAATTTATAAGTTTTAGAGGCAGGAAACTTCAAAATATTTATAAATATAACATATTTAGCAATTTCTGCCACTATGTGTACATTGTATAATTATGCCATGAATCAATGTATGATTTTTAAGATATTTTAATTTTAAAATTAATAGTATTCAATATACTGTAAATCTGAAAATAATCATGGTTATGATTTCTTCCCACAACCCAGTGGGGAATAACATAAAACTTTTGTTTAATCCATAACAAAGTAATTACTTCCAGACGAACGTGTTAAAAACATAATTTTCATTTCAATTAAACTTGAATATATTTCAATTTATTATGAAGTTATTTGACATTGTATTCAAAACAATACGCACACATAAATAATTCAAAAAACTTCTGGAATGGAAACATATGAAGCCTTTTTCCCATTGCTACAATAAACTCATGGTATAATAATAGAAGGTAACAGCAAGTGTTATTGTACAAAAAACGATACAACAACCACATTGAAATTTGTTGTTGTAAGTTCTACTAGTGTCAACTCATTTGACAGATAAATGTAAACAAACAAATTATCATCAAATTATTTTTATTTTGAAAATGAAATATTTTTGAATCCTCAAAATAAAAATTGAAACATGAATGAAAATATGAATGAAAATCTATAAAATGTACATTTCTATCGCTTCCACATCTTTCCCATAATTGAGCCATTGACATATGTATGTGTAGCATATATGAAAATGCTGGGAATAGCGAGTTGCTCCCTGAAGAAAGATTTGCTTCCTCAAACTTTCCCAGCAGGCAGATTGAGTAAATTGAATACAGGAGGACATTTAATAAAGAACAAATTCGAATTGAATGCGTTCCCAATTTTCCTGTTGGGTGATTTTTGAAAACATAATTTGTCAAATTCATATTGACACTAGTATTACCTTGGAATCAAATCAGCTGGAATTTGCTGTTACCTTTTATAATTGTACCATGTAATAAAATCAAATTTAATCATGGTATTCCATTTCAATGCGTATTCGATCATGATACGTTTCTTGTAAACAAACCATACGAGTGGAGATTAGTGGAGAGTCGACCTATGCATCCCTAAAGAAAAGAGATAGAGAAAAACTGAAAAAAACTAGCGACGCACAAATTGTTATTTGTAGGGCATTATTAATTTACAAAAAAATTGTCCATTTTCTCATGAATTTTCCCAAAAAAGATTAAGAACAAGATTCTTTGAACTCAGGTAAATAGTTTTAAGAAATGTATTTCAAAATAAATCTGTCCACTGGGGTAGAAAATCCCTGGAAAGAATCGCGTACCTGCGTACATTTTTGGGAGGAATACATTTGCATTGGAATAGCACGCTATAAAAGGGAGAAACGCAGCCGAGCAGTTCACAGTCATTGACGAGTCGTTGTCGCGTGAAGACCTTTTTGAAGAAGAATTATCCGGAAATCGTATTGGAGAACAACAAACAACAAGCGTATTGGAGAAAAGGTGTGTTTTGTGAAAAGTACTATAATAACCCGTAGTTATAAAAATACAATCAGTGAATAACTAAGAAAACAATATGGTCGCTGTATACAATATTGATGAAATTGGTCAAAATCCCAAAACATTGGGAGATTGGGTTAAAAACTTCCGTTTGAAAAAAATACAAATGAAACGCAAACTGCGAGCTTCGGGTGCCGAGCTACGAGTCGCCGCCATTTTGTCGACAGCCTTGATGTCGGCCGAACATGAATTGCGTCGCAAACAACAAGAACGCTTCCAGAAATGGTTGGAATTCCAATCGAAAATCAATAAAAACCACGAACTACAGCCCCCGAGTGAACATCTCAACAGAAATAAACAACACGCCTCAAAAGTGGACGATGAAGTAGTTCTTGTGGCCAGACGTGAAAGTGATACACAAACCTGCAAACAAAGTGAAGAAATAACCAATTTGTGGAAATGTGAACTTAGTGAATTAGATAATTTTATGCGAAGTATTAGCAGCAGTACGAATAGTAGTTGTAGAGACAATAGTAGTATAAAGCAATCACAAACAAGTGCTGACGAAAGTTGTCCCAGCGAAGTCAACCACAACAGCTATTTCCAGCCACAATCTATACAAGTTTCTAGTTAATGTTGTTCATGTATTTAAACAGTGTTTGCCTTTATTGAGAAAGAACATGATAAATGTTTGTGATTTATTGTCATTTTGTTATCTATATTATATGTATACTCCTTTGTAAATTTCCTTTCGCAAGTTTTATTATGCCAGTTTTTCCATTTACAGTCCGTTGGGACCTTTGTCTGAAGCTACATAACTACCCCACCTACACAACTATACCATGGATCTAAGAAGTTACATAGGCCACATAGTTGGTGGTACTTCTGAAACTGGCCATTGGGAGACATGACAAGGTCTTCAGCTAATAGTGTCAACGACTGGGTGGAAAAGATAAGCCATGAAATCGGTTTGTAACTTTTTTATTTGCATTTTATTTAACACTAAAAAGAACAAAATATTGTGAAATTACCCAGGAATGATTACTCAAGGCCACTGAAAATGACCTGACGCCATTTTAAAAAAATAATGTGTGTGTGTATTTTGTACTGTCTACGAAACCAGGCACATTGGAAAATGGAACGACGAAGTTGTTGTATGTCACGTACACAGATTGTTGAAACCAAAAAAAGAAGAAAACAAACGAGTTCCCTTTCTCTCCGAAAGAGACAGCTATATTGACACACCACTCGTATCTGTGATGTGGATGAGTAATCATTGTTGGGTAAGTTTCTTTGTTTGTAGTTTGTATACATAGATACATACGCATACATATTTCGTGTTGTGTATACCACTAGGAGAAGAAACAAAATGAAATTAGTCGTGTGATTCATATTGAATTGTCTATATGTAGATTTTTTTCTCGCAAAATAATCGTAAGATATTAGTTAATTTTTTGTATATACAAGCAAAGTTCAAAGAATTTTGAAAAGAATAAAAGTATTCCATTTTGAATGATATTTAAAACAAAACAATGTGTATGTCTTTTTAATTTATATTCCCAAAAAGCACCAGCCTAAATAATGCCTTTATTTACAGCTTTCGAAACAAGAAAACGTCAGCATTTCATTGTGCCTTGCCTTCTGTTTGCTAACGAAAGAATATAAACACACACATCCTACGACGATGTCATGAGGAGCCAAAGCGGGGCAGAAGAAATATCTCGAACAATTATCATTTTGAGTCGTCATTCAAAACGCGTAAGACTAGAGCAGAGTGAGTTGAACCACGAAGAAAATTCATCTTTTTAGGAATACACAACATTGCATTGTTGGCATCCATGGCCCCGAAAAGTCCAAATTCTACACAATGGTGTTTTTCTACTCGTACTTATAAATCTCATAATGTAGTGGAATATTGAAATATGAATGTTAACGAACGACCAGCGAGCGAGAGCAGTAAACAGAAATGCATGCTGCTGCTGCCGCCAAGGAGTGGGAAACAACAGTCTCTGGCCTCAACAAAATGATTTTGAGTTGGTGTCCGGAACAACGTTTTTCCCGGCCGTGTGTCACTTGTATTTACCAAATAAGCAGAAGGATTTTATAAATGGGAAAAATGGGTATTTATGAAATCTATTTCTATAAATGAAAACATTTTTCCCGACTTTTCAGTAAATAATTGGTGTTAATCATCGCATCCGGTGCAAGGTTATTTTGCTGTTGAATTTTAAAATTTATGTGATCAGTCAGAAAGGCAGAGAGAGAAATGTGTTAATGTGGAGGTTCTATTTGTGTTTGTTCAATTCAACGTTTTGTGGTCATAGATCAGACTCTTCGTAAGCAGTATATTGAAATCTTCATATCCAATAATATATTATTTTAGGAAATGTAATTATTCATGACGGGAATATGCAACTACATCAATTGTTGCCGCCGATTATAATATCCAGCGAAAATGGGCAACATTCAAGAAGCCACCAACCGAACTGTTGTTTAGTCCAGTTTCATTTGCTTTTTTCTATGGCTAAAATCGTAAGCAGAATGAAGTATTATTTTTCAAATAACTTGTAATTTTAGGACTATAAAGTTATGATTTTACAAACAAAAACTACGACGAAGAATGTTCCGAGAATATCTGCAACCAACTACGTTTAGAACCCCATCCCTACATATCCCTTTGCAAAGTACAACCAAATGCGAAACATACAAACCATAGAAGGTTTCATGAAATCCTGTTGAAGGAAACATGCGCTCTTTATATTCGAGGTGACATCGGTTTTTATTACAAAATAATACCAGTATTTGATTTTCTTTAGTTAACTTGTGGCTGAAATTTGCAACAATGTGCAGGCAGGCGAATCTTTTTTGAAACATCCAATCATAAGTGGTTTCTTTGCATTTTAGCAATGACTTACAAAAAATTTATTACGTCTGCCGATCAGAAATATAAGTAGAGCTGAAACGAATATTAAGATATATGAGACAGTAGCGCTTTGACGACAACTATACGCAGAAAGCAAATTGTGGAATAAGCGAGCATATTACCGGTATGCTTTATTTAACTTAATCCTATATGTAGAATTTTATGATTTTTAGCATTGTGACTCAGTTGAGCCGTGCCTGAGCGCAATTTAACAAAATAATATGTGACTGTCCTTATTGGCATTCTCGAATCGATATGATGTCTAAACTCACTACGCCACACCCAGTAAGGAATATATACAATTATATATCTTCTAACGAAACGTTTACAGGCTATATTCATCACTTCTCTGAATAACTCGACATTCACTGTTGCAACCAAAGCAAATTAAAACCAGAAAATTTTATCGTAAGAACGCTCGCTACATATCGTTTACAACTAATGCGATTTTTCCAGATTCATTTTGTTCCTGTCCTGCAATGTTTTAACTTATGAATTCTCGGTTTTTAGTTGGACAGTCTATTGTTCTACACAAAGTAAGGAAGAAACGAATTTCCTTTTCGAATAATATGATTCTTACAGAAAATATTGACAAAATTAAAAAAGATCAGGATATTGGCCCTGTCGAAATAAGTGGAAGAAAAACATTTTCGATGTACTACCTACTTGGCATATTTTTTATCTATATAGAGCGGCTATACTTCATATAAAAACATAGATGTGAACACAACATGCAAGATGGCTATTTTACCATTTTAGCCGCATCTATACAGCGTAAGAGAATTTGTGGCACTTTATGTACAATAATCTGATTTTTCCAGACAATATACACAAATGTTCGCATGTGAAAAATGACTCAACGATGATGCTCCTGATGGAAAGATGTCACACAAATTTCAAATTGGTTTTTGGTATGCAATAGCTCGCGTCAATTATCAGGCAAGATTTATATTCTACACATAACAAATCGAATGTGTTTTTGAAGAAATTTTAGCGTTATGACACAGTTGAACGGTGCCTGTGCATAACTGGAGTATGTGATAAGCGTGGAAGATTCTGTGTGGGGAGATATCGACTATGCTTTCTAAACAAACATGTACAGGCAAGAGTATTGATTTTAAACATGAGAACGAAAGTTTTTTTTGGAAAGATTTTTTTTAGCGTTATGTCACAGTTGAACGGTACCTGTGTATAACATAAAACGGGTTTCATTTGTGTAATCGGCATGAGGTTTTGAAGTCGTCAAATACACTTGGAGGAACAAATTAGTTGTCAAAAGTTTTCATTTGGAAAACACAGGCAAGCCTAGATCTAAGATTATGTAAAAATGAAAATGTTTCTTGTATACATTTTAGCGTTACGACACAATTGATCAGTCCCTGTGAATGACTCCCGACAGAACTAACCCGAGACTAAGGGACCAGCAACTTAATTTACCCTTCGTTGTTTTGCTTTATCACTTTGTTTCTTCTACACGTTTATATAGAACCAGCAGCACGAAATTATATCCGCAAGAGACAATACAGAACCACCAAAATATGTCCCGTTTGTAACTGTGGCATATACAGCGATTTTACTCGTTGGTCTGGTAAATTTTACTCTTATACACTTACCATGAAGCATGTAATCCATTTGCTTACAGAGATGTTCGTTCATCACATGGGAAAAAATAACCAGAAAGCTAAGGGAATCGCTAAAATGTTGAGATATGCTAACGATGATGATAACAAAGCCCGAAGTGATGAAAGTTTTGTAAACTTAACACACCACAAAAATCATCAATGATTGCACTCACGCCGATCAGAGATACATTGTTGTGCACGTAAATTAAATTGTTGCTTTCTCTTTAGCAGAGCGCCTACTCTTGGGCACCGAAATGAGTTCCACAGCTTTGAGTTGCATTCATATTGTATATGACATTGTGTCTTTATTGTTGCACATACACTACTTTAATCAGCAATTGCGAAGTGACTTGGTACCCCGAAAAAATATAGCTAAGGGAATCGCTAATATATTTTGACTAGCTGTGTAATAACAACGCCGTTCTTCAAATATGTCACTGCTGATGTTATACTGAAAACAAACAAGTATCGAATCTTGACGAAAGATATGCGCCTTAAATGTAAGCTTTGCACGACCAAATCATTACTAATTAATTCTTTACAGCACATCCAAGCGAAGCTTAAAGATGCTAAGGGAATCGCATATGTAAAAAATATCAGATCCCAAAAATTGATACCAATACAAATTTCTGGTAGTTCATGGTGTGGCTCGAAATAATGCAACATTACGACACTGTTAATGATAATGGATTCAAGGAGTCGTCAAAACTAACCATGTCATTTTATAGATTGTCCAAAATCCAAACTTAAAATGCTAAGGGAATCGCAAACATTTAAATTAATCCTCCTCTGATCACTTCCCATGTGATCGTCTCAAACATCCGTTGTCCATGTAAGCATAAAATTTATGAACACATTGTCTAGAAAAACATACATACATATGTTTAGAAATGGAAAAATAGAAAGCCACACACCAGAAATGGAGCCAACATTGAGTTTCGATGCGAAAATGTGCTTTCGGAGTTTTGGTATAATACGTGATTCACAACCTCTTGCTATGCTGCTGCTGTGTTCCTTTCCCTTCCTTCCATTTTTCTGTTATTCTTTTATAATTTTTCGTAGCATTTTTATGTCACAGTTGATCGGTGCCTGTGCATAATGCTTGTGGAATCTTCGAGTGTCCTAACCACAATGGGAAAGTCAATTGTCCGGACTAAGGTTCAAGAAGAGCGGCGGATGCACCACTTTCTGTCTTTTTTATTTTCTCTTTCTTTTTGTTTCTTCGCTTTTTCTATACATTTTGTAGATATATGCAACAGTTGATCGGTGCCTGTTTGCATATTTTGGTGAAATACAAGATGATATGTAACGACATGGCGCGACTTCGTTCTCTGCTCTTTTTTGTCTTCGTTCTCCTTTTCTTTATATTGTGGTATATATATATTTTTTAGATTTTATGTCGCAGTTGATCGGTACCTGTGCATAAATTAGACTTTTACTGAGAGAGGGTTGACTGAATGAGAAGTGTGGCTCACAACCAATTGCTCGGTGGAAGCGAGGCAACAGCAACTGAATATTTCGTCTCTTGTTTTCGTTTCTATTTTATGTTTTTAGCGTTTCAAATTATGTCACAGTTGATCGGTGCCTGTGCATAATCACTTAAGAGGACAGAAAAGACGTTAATGGGAATATAGGAATACTGGCCCTTGATTTGTTTTATTCATATCGCTACGGAGATACACTGTGCAGCTAGTTCTTGTGTTTTGTTCCTTTTATTTTTTGCATTTTTGAAAAAAAAAAATATTTTAGCTTTATGATACAGTTGATCGGTGCCTGTACATAACATGAAATTATTCTGAAGATGGTAACGACACAACGATGATGGCAATACAAATGGCAGAAACGATTTCTCTTTGCGATATTGACACAATTTATTGGGAGACCATAAACTCTTGTGTGCTGCTTGAGCGACTAATGCCATTGTTGACTCTAGACAGCTATGCATTCAACAGGTTTTTGTATTTATTGCATTACTTCATCGCTAATTATACCATTTACAGGAATCCATGTTGCGTTGTTTTCTATTCTGTTCTCTGGGAACTTTCTTGAATATGTTTTTTCTTTTCCCGCTAAATTCTACACTACAAAATATCGTTAAAGGGAATCCATACGATACAACAACTCGCAGGCCCTACAAACCGCTAAAATCTACTTTACTCCATATGTTTCTTAAAGGGAATCCAAGAAACACGGCACCTGTACCTCTACTTTCCTGCTTATTGTTTCATAACTTTCTATGTTTCCTTTTCTGCGTGAAATTGTTATTCGTTGTTATTGTAAATAAGTTTTCGAAGATTAGCATTATTTGTACTTATATATAGACATTTGTCCCACTAGTCGAATAAGACAGAAACACTATATTCAAAAGAAAATTTACTGTATGTTTGAAAAGAAATGTATGAAAACAACCTCTCACAATCTTGTATAAAAACGAAGAAAAAAATGAGAAATCCAAAAAAGTATCTCCATCATATAGCGAAGAAAAATAACATTTTTAAAACAATAAGTCATTTGATCAAATATCAAACGTTCTAAAGAATTCCAATAGATTAGGAAAAAAACAAAGTTTATTGTTTAATTTAATGTTTTCTAATATAAGATCCTTTTGTAAACTTTGTTATACATAATTGTTATGTTAAATGTGTTATATATTGAAATTTTGTAATATTAACTGGACATCTGTACTTGTAAACAATCCACCCACATGAGAAAGTGATGCGAAAATGCCCCTTGAGTATTGAGATAGAGCGACAGAATTAATCAACTGCAGCTTCGTGTATTTGGAAATAATGTTATCCGATAAATGCCTTTACTTATGAGAGGGAGAGATATACTACTGATTTTGAATGCCGAGACTGAAAGCGAGGGAGAAAAAGTCCAATAGCAATAATAAATAAAATGAGCGAAGATGAGTGACATTAGAATTTCCAGTTCGGGATAAAGTAATAAAAACAACTGATTTCATGCCCCTTCAATAATGTACTTCAACACTTCACCTACCCCCTTGAACAAGAATTATCCAACGGACAACGGCAAGATCAATGAGCGTGCAAGCAGCTTTCATCAATGTCTATGTTACAGATCGCCTGTGACACTTCATTTGCGAATTTAGCAATGCCTACACTTCAATGCAAACATTGAAAATCGATTTTTCATTTTGTACACCATAACAACAACACACACCAGTCGGCCAAGTCCAATATTTGATCAAACTTCCAGTGTCTTATGCAGAAGTGAACACGTTTGCATTTGTCGTTGATCGCAAATATTTTACGAAATCATCAGTTTGTCAAAGCCATTGGGTGAATCTTGTACAACCAGAGGGGTTTTTTGAATTATGTCGAACATCATCGACCATCGTAACTGACTTAAATACTACACACCCCCATTCATCTTCAATGTCAGCAAGGGCGTAATATTTCAACAAATTTTCATCGAAGCTGCTTTTAATCGAAAAATTTATTTGGCATTAATAGCCAGTACAAAGTACACATCAAATACAGCCGAATTTTTTAAAACCTACCATCATCAATCATCATCACCAAAGAGCTTTAGAAACAATTATCAAATTTCAACAACATCCGAACAATGTCTGATGGTGCTCAACAACACCACAAAGCTTAGCAACTTTATAAGACCAACTTCCTTCCTATTTCTGTTGAGTAGTGTCCTAAGTGTATGGATACAGAATTCTTCGATTGTAAGAGCAAGGCGTTTGTCGTCACAGTTAATTATGATTACACATAAAATCCAGACCTATTAACATTTGTTGCGTCAAATCTTCCGTCCGTGAAATCATCATGGAAAATTCTTGCATATTCTGGTGAACGATAAAATAGAACACAATCTAAATTATATGGAATTTCTTGGCGCTACACTTACTATACATATCCTTAACATTCTGTTTTTGCCGAGGGACAGTCGTTGAATGTCGTAACATTAGCAACATTAGCACTGGCGTTGTGGCAAACAAATTCGATGTTTGGTTGGTCCAGATCTATATGAACTTTTAAGAGTATTCCATGGTTTGTCTGTCATGAGTGGAACATTCTTCGTATTTTCAAAGGCAGATTAGCGTACATGATTCGTTCAGCGTCAATAGGTGTCGTTATTATAAACTGGGAAGAGTATCACTTTGTCTGCAGCAAACATCAAAGTAGCATGGTGTAACAAGAATTGACGGCAGCGTGGGATACCAAGAATTGACTGCGGCGTGGGATACCAAGAATTGACGGCAGCGTGGGACTCCAAGGATTGACTGCGGCGAGGGACTCCAAGGATTGACGGCAGCGTGGGATACCAAGTATTGACTGCGGCGTGGGACTCCAAGGATTGACTGCGGCGTGGGACTCCAAGGATTGACTGCGGCGTGGGACTCCAAGGATTGACTGCGGCGTGGAACTCCAAGGATTGACTGCGGCGTGGGACTCCAAGGATTGACGGCAGCGTGGGACTCCAAGGATTGACTGCGGCGTGGGACTCCAAGGATTGACGGCAGCGTGGGACTCCAAGAATTGACTGCGGCGTGGGATACAAAGAATGGACGGCAGCGTGGGATACCAAGTATTGACGGCAGCGTGGGATACCAAATATTGACGGCAGCGTGGGACACCAAGAATTGACTGCGGCGTGGGACACCAAGAATTGACTGCGGCGTGGGACACCAAGAATTGACTGCGGCGTGGGACACCATGGATTGACTGCGGCGTGGGACACCAAGGATTGACTGCGGCGAGGGATTCAAAGAGCTGACGGCAGCGTGGGACTAAGGTTTGACTGCGGCGTGGGACTCCAAGATTTTGCGGCAGCGGGGGACTACAACGATTGACTGCGGCATTGGATTTCAAGAGTAACGGCAGGGTGTGGGACCTTAACCGTCCGTCGTTGGCATTCTGTTTTAATTTGTTTTGTTAGGATACATTTTTCAACCCAATCTATCTAAATGTTAGGTAATTCTTTTTTAAATGAAATCCGGATGGGTATTAAAACCTCAAGAATACGACAACATTATATTGTGTAGAATTTGTAGACTTCCTGGTTCCCAATTGTTCTTTTTCCTGTTATAATTGCAAAAAGTACCATCTGGAATAAATGTCCATGCATATATTTTGAAAAGATGAAAAAAATGGTTTAATTTTTATTAATAAAACGGTGAATTAACAAATTGAAATTTCAGTTTTTTTATTCCATTTGGTTGGGGATGCTATTAAAGTTGTCAACGGTTTAATCGACACTGAAATCGGCGGTAAGTATGGAATATATTTATAGATATTTAATTTGGGACAATTTAGCAAGTATATAGCTTCTAAGGGCTTATTGCCAAATATATGTCAACTTTATTTTCATAATGACCAGACAATCTATCTATGTAACATTTTAATGTTAAACAACAAATTTCAACAAAATTTGTAGAATCTTGTATGTAGAAAAGTGGGGAAGGTATATTGAACTAATCAAAATAACAGGCAGGGGGCACTTTTGACAACTTTTTCTCTCATGTCTCATAATTTTTTTATAATTGTTTTTTTGTTTTTAATTTAACATTTTTATATTTTTTTTGGTTTACGCTGATTTTTGTTTCACGCTGATAGGTATAGATTGAATCATGGTACAATTATAAAAGGTAACAGCAAATCCCAGCTGATTTGATTCCAACGTAATACTAGTGTCAATATGAATTTGACAAATTATGTTTTTAAAAATCAACCAACAGGAAAAATGGGAACGCAACAATTTGAAATTGTTCTTTATTAAATGTGCTCCCTTATTCAATTTACTCAATCGTTAGGAAAGTTTAAGGAAGCAAATCTTTCTCCATGGAATAACTCGCAATTTTCTGCTGTTTCATATGTGTTACACATAAAAATGGCAATGACTTAATTATAGGAATGATGTGGAAGCGATAGAAATATTAATTTGATAGATTTTCATTCATGTTTTTCAAATTTTATTTTGAGGATTCGAAAATATTTCATTTTCAAAATAAAGATAATTTATTTGTTTGTTTACCTTTTTCCTTCAAATGACGTTGACGCTAGTATAACTTACAAAAAGAAATTTCCATGTGGTTGTTATATCGTTTGTTGTACAACAACACTTGCTGTTACCTTCTATTATTATACCATGAGATTGAATATACATATGACATACTTTCAGTTCGATCGAAATATTTAATTAGTACTTTAATGGATCAAGTCCAAGAATCGTAACGGTTATATGATTTGATATTACAAATCAGTTAAAAAATAACAGTTATTTTGTGGCCTAAATAAAAAATCAATTTTAATTATTTATTTTTTAAAGGAAAATATAAACGTTGATTTTTAACTGTTAAAAATTATTGTTGTTTTTTTCCGAAAAAAACTCATTTAGGGATTTTTATATTTTCCCTCAAAAATAAAAATCATTCTGGAGTTTTATATTTTTCGCCTGGAGTTTTATAAATCACCATATAGCGTTTGATACCAGTTATATAACTTTTGACCTAATAGTCAGAGGAATGATTAATATTCTTAATTTGATGATTTAATATTTTTAATACACTGAACTATTTTTTAAAATTCTGTTTGATGATCGTTCGGTTGAAGGTCAATGAAAAAACGTTTGATTTTGTTTAACTTTGTTTTTTATTTATTTTTCCAATATTTCGATTGCCATCGACAATCATCTTCAGGTATATTTATATTAGTGTAAAGGAAAAGCGTCTACATTACTTTAACGTCACAGTCAAAGTAATGTAGACGCTTTTCCTCTACATTAATATAAATATCCCTGAAGATGATTGTCGATGACAATCGAAATATTGGAAAAATAAATAAAAAACAAACGTTTTTTCATTGACCTTCAGCCGAACGATCATCAAACAGAATTAAATATTTTTTAAAAATGTATAACAAATATTTTTTACCTTTGCCATTATTAATTTCTCAAATGAGACTACCTTCTATAATTATGCCATGCACACATACATATAAAAAACTAGTGAAAAGTTCAAAATTATATAATTGAGTATTTATTTATCAGATTGTTGAAGATATAAATTATGTGTTATGTATATTATATACTTGACGTGTTAATCTTGTGGTCAACTAATTTTATCTCCGCAAATTAAATATTTCTCCAATGAGGCCAAGTTTTTATTTCATTGTATAGAGCCGTGCCGGGACATGATGTTGCTTTGGTTTGGCGATGTCCTAATAGAGTATAATTAGTCTTTAAATAGCCTCCACTAACTGCCTGAGCTATCAAGTCTTTTGCATTCTGCAACATTTGTTCCGATGGTTTACTGCCTAAGGGTTAATCAAGATTAGTTTGATATTTTGGTTTCCAATAGATCTTTAATAATTTGTCTTACTCTCAAAGTTGCCCAGAAAAACAATGCCGATGCTGTTGCGATTGTACTTTGGGGCATGCGATCCTTGGTATCCCCATCCTCGACCCTCATACACATTACCATCTCCGGCAATAATGAAATTGTAACCAATGTCGCTGAAGTTACGACGACTTTTGTGGTCACTCTGTATATTTTTTATTAGTCGCTGACAGGAAGTTTCCGAATTACATCCACTTGGGTTGTCAGAGTGATGAATAATGACATAGTCTACAGCGCCATTGATACGAACTGGAGATCGTGCTGAAGCAGCTCCCCAACTACTGCGTGGTTTTATGGTAATTCCATTGCAATGGTGAAAAACTAAACAATCCTGTTGGATGAGGTTGCCACGAGCTATATATCAGATCAGTCATACTTACCCAGAACCAGCAAAGAAATATATTTTATTAGTTCTGTATATTCTGGATATTTGCTAGGGAGATATCTCGCATGTAAAAAATTTTCGCTTTCACATTCTCGCCTTATTCTGAATGAATGGGGAGATGCAAAAAATGCGAGATGCAGATTCGAGTTTTCGAAAATGGTGGTTGAAAAAAAGATTCGTGTTGCCATATCGTAAATTAAGTTGCAATGTGTGTGGCCATATTGTAATTTAAGTTGCAATGTGTGTTGCCCCATTGTAATTTAATTGTGTAACATTTTTCAATATATTATTTATTGATTTTTGTTATTAAAAATTGTTACTTTTTATTGTTATTTACACTATATAGCAATACAAATGTGAAATATCAAGAATCCGCTGTATAAATGCTTTGTAATTAAAAGAAAATAAATTAAAGTTTGAAAATATGGCAACCTACAATATGGCATGTGAAACAGCTGTTCATTGTTTTGATGCAATTTGGTGCAACAACTACAACAAGATTATAAATAAAAGAACATTTTTATGATGACAAAAACACAACGAATAATGGAAAGAAATCTGCGATTGAATTAATTAATTCAATTTATTATTTCACTACATAATTGTGTGCCTTTTTATTTAATTTCGATATTTATTTCCCCAGATTCTTAAAGTGACATGTTATGTTATGATTACGATAATTTAAAAAAAATATTTTTTGTTCTTTCATAATTTTTTTTAAGTTTTTCACTGTTAAGCGGCTCATCAGGCAAATTTGGTTTTTCCATCATTTTTAATTTTTTTTTTTTTTTGAGAGACAGACTCTCACCCAAAATGTCTGTATTTCGCCTCCAAACTGCATCAAACTCGACTTAAATATTCCGTATTACCTTCATATATTCCTTGGATCAGCAGGCATCGTTATCAATAGGATTTCCAATGGCATTTTATTGGTTGTTTTCCAGTTAAAAGTGTGCTTACTATCATTTATAATATTCTAAATCGTCATACAATAAGTATTGTGTAAATATTTTTCATAAAAATAGTAATTACTTATGTCTTTGTAGTCAACTCCCCTTAAATTTATTAGCGAAAAATTTCGCACAAAATTTCCTACTCCCTGTAATCCAGAATACCTAATTTTTCCCCAAAGCGGATTTTTTCGCTTTCGAACTTCATTCAGAATAAGGCGAAAGCGAGAATGCGAAAAAATTCACACAAAAATGTTGTTCAGAATAAGACGAAGGAAAAGAGCGAGTAAATTCACGTGGAATTGACATCCAGAATAAGGCTGAACAATTAACTCATACATAAAACCACACTACTGTTGGATTATCAGTTTATATAGATCAGTCCAATCCATTTTTTATTGTTTCTTTTTATTTCTGGTACAATTTGGTGAACAAGCAGAGCTGGAATTCTTAAATTTGGATTTACGATTAATATTTGAAAGTAGGTTTGGAATATTGAGATAGGTTTGGAATATGGGTACAAAAAGTACAGAATGGTATCAAATCTGATATAATTATGGTACGAAAAGTACTAAATTTGGTACAAGCTGGACTTTGGTGGAAATAAGATTACTGTTAGAGTGTAGGATTGATGCAGTTTTAGAAATTCTTACTTATAAGTATGAAAAGTACTAAATGATACTAAATTTGGAACAATTTGGATTTGGTTGAATCCTGAGATTTGGAATTTATAATTTATGTGTACAAATAGTAAATAGAATAGAAATTTCACTATATTTGGAACGATTTGGATTTGGGTAACGGTGCAAAGGGTTTTGGTACTAACTAATACTATATTTAGTGGTGGTGATGGTATGGTATGGAAATTAGAGGTTAGTGTATTTTTTTGTATAAACAAATATTTTTGTATAAGTCTTTAATAACTGAAAGTAAATGCAACGATGAATTAAAAACAAGAAACGAAATAATAAATTGTTTTTCTTTTCCTAAATGAAACTATCAGCCTTATTCTGGATGTCAATTCCACGTGAATTTACTCGCTCTTCCCCTTCGTCTTATTCTGAACAACATTTTTGTGTGAATTTTTTCGCATTCTCGCTTTCGCCTTATTCTGAATGAAGTTCGAAAGCGAAAAAATCCGCTTTGGGGAAAAATTAGGTATTCTGGATTACAGGGAGTAGGAGAATGAGATGAAATTTTGTGCGAATTTTTTCGCTAATAAATTCAAAGTGAGTTGACTACAAAAACATAAGTAATAAATATTTTTATGAAAAATATTAACACAATACTTATTCTATGACGATTTAGAATATTATAAATGATAGTAAGCAAATATTTATCTGGAAAACAGCAAATAAAATGCCTTTGGAAATCCTATTGATAATGATGCATGCTGAACCAAATATTGCCAAGGAATGTATAAAGGTAATAATGAATATTTAAGTCGAGTTTGATGCATTTTGGAGGCGAAAAACATACATTTTGGGTGAGGATCTGTATCTCAAGAAAAAAATTATAGAAAAACCAAATTTGCCTAATGAGCCGCTTAACAGTGAAAAACTTAAATAAAAATTATGAAAAAAAAACAAAAAATATTTTTTTTTTCAAAATTATCGTTTGCATTATTTGAAGGAAGAAATAAAGGAGTAGGAGCATAACAGGCCACTTTAAGAATTTGGAGAGATAAAATATCGAAATTAAATAAAAAGGCACACAATTATGTGCCTGTGTTTTACCCATCATAAAAAAATGTTCTTTTATTTGTAATCTATTGTAGTTGTTGTACCAAAATGCATCAAAACAATGAAAAGCTGTTTCACATGTCATATTGTAGGTTGCCATATTTTCAAACTTTAATTAATTTTCTTTTAATTACAAAGCATTTATAAAGCGGATTCTTGATATTTCACATTTATATTGTTATAAAGTTTAAACCACAATAACAAGTAAAAATTTTTAATAAAATAATCAATAAACAAAATATTGAAAAATAGTACACAATTAAATTACAATGGGGCAACACACATTACAACTTAAATTATAATATGGCAACACGAATCTTTTTTTCAACCACCATTTTCGAAAACTCGAATCCGCATCTCGCATTTTTTGCGTCTCCCTCAAGGTAGATATACAAGGTAGCCGCATCGGCGAATTTCTACAACAAACATCGGTTGTTGTATTTTGATATGTCAAAAATATTTTGCCAAAACAAACAGATTCACAAGATTTTTTTACACAAATTCTTGTAGAAAATGTTAATAAAAGCATTGCCACAAAAGCTCTTCGAAATTCGGAGATTTTCATTCATAATTTTGTTTTTCAATTTTTTGGTTCAACATTACAACAACATTTTTGACATTTATTTGTCCAACAGCTGGGCCGATGCGGCTACCTTATTAAATATACCTTGGTCTCCCTATTCATTCAGAATAAGGCGAGAATGTGAAAGCGAAAATTTTTGTATGTGCGAGATATCTCCCAGCGAATATCCAGAATAAGGCTGTATAAAAATATAAAAAAAAATATTTTTTATTTTATTTTTGTTGTTGATTGCGGGAAGGTAAAATGGCATGGCCTTTATATATATATATATACACGACACCACTTTTATTTTAATATCTGCAATACGAAAAAGTTATAGCAAAATTAAATTAGGTATGCAATTTTTATAAATCCATCGTCCGCGCCATCTATTTTTGTCTGTAAGACGTGGCCCATCACCATACAAGACCCTACATGAACGCTATCTATTGAAAGGAATGATCGGTGACAGCAAAATATTTGTTTCCGAAATGGCCTGTAACTAGCTCTATAAATCTCTATATAGAATCGGCAAATTGTATTTTGAAAACTTTTCTAAGGCAATAAAATACAAATTTATCCTCCTACATAACTTTTTAAATAAAACATTTCACATTTCTTAAATTTTGAATAGATCACGAAATAGTCAGACTTCCTACCTTTCATATGAGACAAAAACCAGGACATTAAATTCTACATTTATGAAATTTCGAGTTACGGCATCAATATATGGCGCTCCGTTCGCCAAATTGTATGGTCGTAAAGGAAATTGAAATCGGTATATATCTACATGAAATGGAGTAAAACGTAGCCGCTTCATTGGATCGATAATACAGCCATAAAATTGAAGAAACGCGCAATGAACTTTCTTAACAAAGCACGCATTTTAGTTATGAAATTCAACTATTTGAAAGCGTTGATCGTTTGTATGACGATTCATCGTTAAATTATTGACCAAACTGAAGATGTATGACAGAAAAACAAAACACGAGATGTATGTAAACTGTTAAAAACAGTGTTGCCAAAAAGATAATAGCTAAAAAATCACCTTTATAGGTGTAATAAATATATAATGTCTTTGTGTAATAAAACTGCAGATTCCCCTCTAACCATTGCTGCAAAAATGCGTGCTCTGTTATGTTATGGCTGTATAATCGACCCACTAAAGCGGCTATCCCTTACACTTTTATTATTATAGATATATACCGATTTAAATTTCCTAACTACCTGAGTAGAAAAAATCAAAAATGAATAATTTAATGTCGCGGTTATTTTGTCATAACTGTTTGCCGTTTCCCTACCAATGACCAATTTTTTACTTCATTATTATACATTACAGGTCAGGAAAGACATCCCTGAGACCCACTTACATTTGTGGTTGCTGGTATTTTTAATAAATCCACGCCCATATCTGGTCCCCAAAACAAACATGTTTAAAAACCCACGACTTTATGTGTTACTCGAAAAAATATTTTTTTATCTAAAGTCTAAATGTAATTCCCGAAAAAATATTTTTAAGAAAATCAGTCTTTTGAAAGCTTCCTAAAAATGTTTTTGTTTTTTTTTTTAATATACATCTGTGGATTTTTTAATATTTTTTTATGCGGCTATTTCAATAAACATTGAACCGAGGTAAGATTATCGATGAAAATGGGAAGCATCACCGTTTTTTTAACATTGCTTTAAATGTTAAATAAGCAGTCTTAGAGTATTTTATAGCACCAAATCAGTTATGTTGAATTTTTTGAAATCTACTTCCTGATATGAGTCCAAAAATGTTGTTCCGAACATCAAACCTCTACACTACCATTGTACAGTATTTTTCGGTTAATTGCACATCAAAATTTGCACAAATTTTTGTTCAATTAACCGAGGAACCAATTATCCGAACCCGCTTACTAGGAAATGAAATATTTTTGACCCATCATGTGGTTCAATTAAGCGTGGAAACCAATTAACCGTAGGTTCAATTAACCGAAAAATACTGTATTAAGTAATATTAAGTAAATAGTGTATGTAGTTGAGTTATTTTTTTATGCACCTTCTCCGTTTATTGAAATACAACAAATAAACAGATTAAAAAAAAAATACTAAAAATGTGTGTCTATTTATGAACGTCTAAAAAATCTCTTAGTGGTGGTTCACAATATTAGTTTTTTAGTAACAATGTCACAATAATGGCTCCCAATGAATTTAAAAAAATCCAAAAATTTGGTGCAATTTTGAGCAAATTTCACAAAAATACCAGGCGCCCAGAATGAAGTAACAAGTCGCCTGCCAGAAAATAAAAATTCGAAAAATTTTGGTCTGGCAACACCCAACCCGCGTATGCTACAGTATGCTACAAATTTTGTAATTTCATTGTACGCCATTGCCAGATGCAATTTTTTAAATTTTTTTGGCGGGCTACTTTCTATTTTCTTCTGGGCGCCTGGTATTTTTGTGAAATTTGCGCAAAAAATGCATACAACCAGGTGAATGAAAAATTGTGACGTCATCACACAAATTATGTCGCATGCGTAGGGGCATGTATACTTACCATATTTGTTGTATCCGTAAATAAAAACAAATAGTATTTTTAGTAAATTCATTATTCTTTATTTTTTATTCAATATTCTTTGTAAAAAATATATACATACATTTAAAAAATATATTAAATATAAATATTAAGAAATAATTTTCCTTACAACTTAGCCCACTTATTTGGACAATATTCTATTGTAATCCTTCCTTGAGGAATTTTATGATTGAGAGATAAGGATAATTCCAAAATATATATTGATCGTTATCGGCGGACGTGCCATATTTTCAAATAATTTGTATATCGTTTTCGATTGTCATCATACGGAAATTCGAGCATAAAAACCTGAAATGAAAAAAATAGACAAATTAAAAATATATATAAGCATTAAATAATCTATACTAATAAAAGAGTAAAGTGATTGACTAACTGATTCAACGCCCAGACGAAACGGCTGAAGATAGAATCTTGAAATGTTGGTTGAGGGTCATTCTTGGTCCAAACGTGACAGATAAAGCTGGATTGTAGGAAATTCGTACTAGAACGGTAGAGCTAGAACTCTTAAATTTTTGTACTATAGTTGGTACAATTTAGATTTGGGTGAACCGATAGAGCTGCAAAAATGCAATTTGGAGTCTGGATCACTGTTGGGGTGTAGGATTATGGTATGTAGAGAATTTTGAAAATTCGTACTAATGTGTACTATATGGTACGAAATTTGGATTTGGGTGAACCGATAGAGGTGGAATCTTTAGATTTGGAGTTAGGATCATTGTTGGAGTAGAATTGAGTTATTTATGAAATTTCGGAAATTTACATTTTGGGTGAACCAATGCTACGAAGTTTTGGAAATTTGTATTGAATGGGTACTAAATTGTACTAAATTTGGTACAATTTGAATTTTGTGTGAACTGATAGAGCTGGATTCTGTAATTTGGAGTTACGATCTTTGTTGGTATGTTGTATTGAGCTATGTAGAACGTTTTGGAAATTCGTACTAATGTGTACTAAATGATACCATATATGTATATGGGTGAACCGATAGAGCTGGAATCTTAAAATTTGATGTTCGAATTACTGTTGGGGTATGGGGTTTGGTTTGTAGAAAGTTTTGGAAATTCGTGCTAATGTGTACTAAATTTGGTACAAATTAAATTTTTGGTGAACCAATACAGTTGGAATCCTGAAATTTGGCCTTAGGGTTACTGTTGGGATGTAGGATTGGGCTACGTAGAATATTTTGGACATTTATACTAATGTGTACAAAATGGTACCAAATGTGGATTTGGGTGAACCGATAGAGCTGGAATCTTAAAATTTGGTGATAGGATCACGGTTGGAGTGTAGGGAGTTCTGGAAATTCATACTAATGTGTACTAAATTGTGTACAATTTAAATTTTGGGTGAACCAATGTACCAATGTGTACCACATGGTACCAAATAAGGATTAGAGTGAACCGATAGAGCTGGAATCTTGAAATTTAAAGATACGATCACTGTTGGGGTGTAGGATTCAGGTATGTATAAAGTTTTGGAAATTCATACTAATGTGTACAAACTGGTACCAAATTTGGATTTATATAAACCGATAGAGCTGGAATCTTGACATGTGAAGTTAGGATCACTGTTGGGGTGTGGGATTGGGTTATGTGGAAAGTTTTGGAAATGTCTACTAAATGACACTAAATTTGGTACAATTTTGATTAAAAGTTAACCGATAGAGCTGGAATGCTGAAATTGAGTAATAAGATTTTCATTGGATTGCTTGATTTCCATTGGAAGTTATTGGCAATTTATATTAATGTTTACTAACTGGTACTTAATTTGGATTTGGGTGAAGCTATATTTGAAATTTGGAAATTTTGCACGAGTACAAAGGGTAAAAATGACAAAAAATAATTTTTTATAGGACATAGGTACTAAATGGTTCTAAAAGTGTTAATAATGTTTGGTATTGGGTTTTAATTACTTCCCACATTCGGTAACGAAATAGCGGGTATATGCTAGTAATTTATATAACTTACACGAACATCCACATAATTTTTGAGCAAAATGAAAAATTGGTCATAGAAATCGATGAACATTTGACGTTTTTCGTATTTTGAATCGATTGCATTTCTTTGTATAGCAAGGCTTGTGGATAATTATATATTTGCTTACAATGACTCAAAAACATTTAAAAAAATCTTAGAAATTCTCATAAATCATCAAATTTCAAATGTTTTATACTTTAATAACCAATCATTAAGACTTTATCTAATCTTATGTAAAAACTCATTAAAATATACTGGGATAAATAAGATGATTTGATGTATACAGATTTATTTAAACAAAAACTATAAAGATTCAAATCAACCTACCTGACAATAATTTTCTATGAATGAAAATATTAAAAACTAAATATAAATCAATATCCTCTGCATTAAAATAAGTTTTTTATTTGTTTGGTTTTATTAATATTTATTTGTAATTCGGATTTTTTAGTCATAATTAATACCACAAACATAACTCTGAACTGCCGCAACTGATGAACTTTGGGTAAATTATGTATTGCAACCAGAGCAATTGCATTGCATTTGCATATAACTATGATATCACAGCCGACCGGTCATTCGCGAAGATATTTCTTGTATATGATTAGCTCTCGACAATTAGACAGGAAAAACATCCATCACCCCGAGTTTACGTTTTCCCCTTCAATATATTTGTATCTGCCACTGTTTCCTTGGTCAGTTACGAATACATGTAATATAATAATTTCAATTAAATGTGAAAATGGAGTAGTTAAAGAGTTGGTCAGTTACGAATACATGTAATATAATAATTTCAATTAAATGTGAAAATGGAGTAGTTAAAGAGTTGAGATATATTTTCAATTCTGTTCACACTGTCTGTTGCAGTTGTCGAGGAAGCGATTATAATATGAATTTATAGTGCACGACGAATAATCCACAAAACAGTCGTTTTATAGTTATACGTAACATCAAACTCGTCGCAATAATAACAATAAATCACTAAAACCTAAATAGTACTGAAATATTTGGAATATTGTTTTACTTCATATAATGTATTGAAATAAATAAAAAAATATTTAGTTTTAATTAAATGAAGACTTTATTTTTTCACTTGGCTCACATATTTTTTCTAATTGTTAAATATATATATACCTAAGTAAGTATATTTAAATGTTACTGTGTAGGTATATGTCTGATTTCCTTTACTGTATGTATGTAAATGTGATTGGGGAAATAGAGGTGTACAAATTATAATTACAAATACACATATATTAGCATAAAACACATTATATAATGTACAAAGTAGCAAATATATTACTTAATAACTTGCAAAAAATAACTAAGACAATTCAAACGCGAATTCACAATAAAAAATAAACGTCTTAAATTTAAAGAAATATTTATTTTGATGAAAATTTATATAAATACAAAAAAAAAAAACAACAACAACAAAAACGAAATCACATTAAATCAAAAGAACAACTAAATTTTGTATTGTGCTACGTAATAAAGAAATGTTTTGCCGTAGTTATTTCCCCTTATTTGTATATTATTTAATTATACACGTATTTTTTTGGCCAGTTAAAATATTCACTTTGAAACAATTTTATCCATAATTATAAATCAATTAAAGCATGTCTACGAGGGTTTGCACATAATGAGTTTTTAAATGCTTTTATATTGGTACTAAACAACTATTTGATTTTTCATATGAAAATTTTAATAAAATATTGAATTTATTTTCTCCATAAGAACTCATTCATAGTTTTTTTTCAAAACAAATTCCCGACGAAATCTTACGATAAAAAATCAATTCATAGGGACTGTATAAAGCTTGTTCAATGAAACTATCATTTTTGATATAGTCGAAATAATATAAAACTTCTTCAATGGTCAAATTAAGCAATGATTATTGATACACTCAAATCAAACCATTCGGTTAAAAAAAATCACTCAGCGAAAATGTTCCCACTTATTGCAATATAGCACATTATTGCGGTCAATTAAAAACCGAAAGCAGTAAAAACACAAAACATACATCCCTCGTGTCCTATAACAAGCATACACGAATATATTAAAAGGATAATTTAAAATAAAATACTATTATTATTAGATAAACGTAGATTTTCCTCAAAAATCAAAACAAAATGTATTTTCTTTTTATAAAAACAGTTGAGTTGTTTTCATTTGCAAAACATACATATAATATATAATTACAAGACGTTATTGTTTAAATATGTTATTTTAGAATTAAATACTAAAAATAAGTGTAATAAAATGGAAAAAATTAATATTATTTACAATGGTTTTGTTTTCTGTATGCAATTGAATATAAACTCTCTTTGTTAATTTTTAGTTATCATTTTACGTGAGAGTGTTTTTTTTTCTTCTGGATTTGCAAAACTAATGTTGACCTCTATATAAAGGAATTTTATATTGGATTTTAGTGAAAAGTATTTTTTTAGTTTTCTCCTTTAATTATATTTCTTTTTTTTAATATCTCTTTTTAAAGTGGGATGATTATTGTTTTCTCACTACATTTTTTCAGTTAACAATATTTTTGGGTTGACTCCTTAATATTTTGTGTGTTTAATGTTTTTTTATTTAAATTATTTTAAATTTCTTGTTTTGTATAACTATCAGCGTTAATATTAATGGAATTTTCTTTACATATTAATGTGGTTATATTTCATTGAAACATTTTGTATATCCAAAAACAAAAATTCAGCATAGATTTGTAAACAACGTTTAGAGTTTTATTGTTGCTGTTAAGAAGAAAACCAAACACAGAAGAAAGTAAAGTTAACATAAATTGAGAAAAATCATGAATTGAATAAGGAAGTATTGATTTAGTACTGAATACATTAAACATATTCCTTGTGCAAGGACATTTGAGTATTGCATATTAATATCCTCTAATGGGTTTTCAGTTCTCCTTTCTTTTCCACATTAAAGAGTTGATGTAATAAACATTTCCAATGGAATTTCAGCAACCAAAATAAGCCTTTCCACGAATACTTCAAAACGGACCATCAAAAAAGGTTTGCATTATTGCTTTATTGATACACTCAAAGAATATACTATTATTTATTCTTAGTTTTGTTTAAATAATTATTACAAACATATCTGTAAGCCGTAATCATTACCAACTAGTTAATGGTAACCCGAATCAATATTGAAATTAAACAAACTATTGCCAATATACGTTAACAAATACATTAACTATTTATAAATTTAAGTTTGAAATAAATACATATGCATGCATAACCAGGATAATCCATTAACGTGGAGGATTGCTCCGAACCCGGTGCGAACTCCAAATCGAATCGAAATCTCCGTAATCCCTCATTGTGCTTGAAATTTCCATTTGTCTTGTGTTCAATTCAATTCTTCTCATATCCTTGTTACTGTATGGTTTGTTGTTTGTTTGTTTGTGATGAGTTGCTGTTGCTGTTCTTGTTATTGAAACCCAAAATTATTAGCTAGCACATCATGCTACTTTTTCATTTGTTGAGTTGTTGTTTCACTTGCTGACACATTATTTTTTTGTTATTGTTTTGCAAAATTTTACATTTTTTTGGTAATTTTTATTTTTCTTTTTCTTCTTATTGTTGTAACATTGTTTATGTTTTAAAATTTTTTATATTTTGTTGCACAAAATTTTGTTGGGTATGGAGTTTTAATCGATAATTTCTGTTGCCATTGCAATTGTCATGGCCTATGGAACCTGTAAGAAATGTCAAAAAAAAAAAAATAGGTTAAATAAATTATATTTGTAATGAAGTAGAAATGTCAAGATCAGTAATAACTATATTTTAGAGGCAGTTAAATTGGAAAGGGCAATTGCATAGTTTATATTAACATTTTCCCTTCTATTACTGTCATTTTCCCTTCTATTACTCTAATTGTAATAATGCAAATATTGCAGAACATATTCATAATGTGTGACATTGGGTTTGGCATATTTTATATTTACGTTTTGGGAATGTGAAAAAGACAACGATTTTATAAAGATTCGTAGCAAAAAATCATATTGTCCACACTAACGTATTGAATATAGCAGAATGTAAAAACATGGCAAACTAAAAAAAAATAAAAACTTAAATCGATTACATTACAGAATCAAATACATTGCTTATCTTCAAAATATAACATTGTAGAACATTCGATTTACAGTCATAGTTAGTTTATGTTCAAATAAAGAACAGAGTCTGCAATTTAATTTTCTCTAAAAATTCTATGATAGTTAATGTCAACAAAGTATAATTTCCGAAAAATATGTATGTACGTGTTGACCGCTTTCTCCTATCTCTCCTTAATATACCCTCAATACTATGGTGGAGGGTATAACAATGCCAACGTAAATATAGTGGACATTTACTACATTGGACAGTGTAATACACTGCAGATCTACGTCATTCCCTAAAATGTTGAACTGTAATAATGGGAATTTTTTTTATACTTGTGACCTAAGAGGAAGCGGAAATAAAAACTAATTTTTGTCACTTGACTGCACATCATGCATAGAGCACCATCACATGCCTATTCGTGACGATGACGTGGCTAATTTTGTTACCCATGTGGTTGGAAACCAGTTAAATATTTGAAAACATCGTGGGGCTTATTCAACTTAACACTTGATAGCTTGGAAGCCACCTAGAAGGGTGTACACAAAATAAATAATTCTATTAGCTTTACCTTGTTAAGTGTCGACTACCCTCGTGTACTGCCATCTCGGATGATTTAAATTCATTTAATTCTTTACGTATGGCAGCCTTGTCCTTTGGTGTCAGTCTTGTCCATGGCTTATCAGCTCGACGATCGTAGTCGTGGGCCTGAGTCACTTCGATATAATCATTGAAACGTATAATTTTCTTTTCCTTAAGCTCCTCGACGGTGGGTCGAAAACTTAATTTACGCAATAGGTATGATTTCTTTTCTTCTTTTTGTTTTTTCTCTTCGGCGGGTGTTTGTGCTGGTGGGGTGAAATAAAAAAAAACATTAACAACAAATTCGAAAACATTCTATAGAAGAACCACTTACTCTTTAATATGTTACGCTCCACCAATTCATCGGCCGTCGGTCGCATCGATAAGCGTCTGATGAGGCGAGCACCAATGGCCTCTTTCGATTCCTTGACATCATTGTCGTTGACGGGATGCAAGATGTTGCGATTGATTAGATCCTGTTTGTCGGGGCGCAATTGCAATTTCAACGACAACGATTCCTTGCGGGCAATCTTCGCCTGACGTGATGTGTCATCGTCGCGATAGAGAATCCGTGAATTATCATCATCGCTGCTATCACTGCTATTTTCGCGTATCACAAATGGCCGAGTGTTTTCCTTGTTCTCCATGGTGCATGGCAGATTAATATTGAACATTTGTTGCCTACTGTTTGGTGTAAACATAAAATCAAAAAGAAAGCACACATACACGAAGGCATGAAGAAATTAGAAACGTCGTGGTTTAAACGATCTTTTAATTAATATCTATACATAATCAATAATATAGTTATTTAAAAAAGAATACATGCATTTACGAAGATGTGTAGATAGAGAATTAAAGTGCTATAATATTACATTTTTGTGGTTGTCTTACGGAAAACATGTAAAGAACTTTAACGAATAAATACAATATATTTTTTTATTTTTCAGATCAGATCAAATGGTTAAATTTTTGCTGAAAAATAAATTTATAATATCATTCGAAAGGATTATCCGCTTCGATATAAACTTTACATGACCTAATATTTTTTGGACCATATTTTGAAAATATGTAAATATCTTATAATGCACAGGGAGCATCCGATTTGGTAAAACTCTGCAATCGTTATATCTTTGTCAACATGATGCCACATGCCACACAACTCGAGCGAATATGGCTTATTTGCAAGAAACATTTCCTGGTCACGTAATTTTTCTGGCCACCAATATCATGCGATTTGATACTATTAGACTTTTTGAATGGGGCTACGAAAAAGGTCGTGATTATGCATATAAACCTTCAACTCTTCGACTAGCTCGTTCGATCTTATTGTCTAGTTCGCAAAGAGACATGGATAAATAATAAAATATGATTAACATATAATTTCATGGGATGTATTCATTATTTCGGTCCACTAATTTTTTTATATTTTTGAAGGTTGTTTATATATCTAAAGACATAGGAATAGCTCTTGAGTGTAATTTATTACACACATCCTTCACCGTTCATTTTCAGCAACAAACTAAAAAATGAACCGAGAAAGAGAAATGGTAAGGGACCGACTCTGATAAATGTGAACACAAATCTCTTGGAAATTCACAAACTAATACCACTACAAATTTAGCAGATGTGTTCGTAAATGAGAAGTGTTGTTGTTATATTTTACTGCGTGATTTGTAAAAAACAATTTATTAATGAAAGTAATATTTTTTATATTCAAGCATCAGCATCATGTATGTATATGCAAGGCCATGTTTGTATCGTGTTAGAATTGTTGTTATCAAGTTTTCAACTATTTTTTTCTTTAATTTTACCCCAGAATAATTTCACTCTCAATACTCAAACCAATATATTTTGTTTGACTTTAGCCTTTATATAGCACGTTCTTTAAATATATATTTTTTTATTTTTCAATGAAAAAGACTACAAAGATATCGATGAACTACGAACACAGTAAGTCAGTCAACTTGCATGCGAGCTCTTTTGTGTATGAATATGACACTCTAAAAGACGTAAAATTTTTGTTTTCTTCATAGCCATCTTCCGGCATGCCATTCATTTTTATTCACAAGTATTTGTGTTCTGTGAATATTGAATTTCGTTCTTCATGGCTCAACAAAGGAGGACGATTTAACCGTAACATACAAGGAAAAGGTAGTGTCTAATGCAGATAACTTTTTGCTACGCTTCCATCAAGGCAAAGCTCTTATCGGAGGGTTTTCTTTTGTCACCACTCCTCTATATATAAGTGTTAAAGTCGAATTTTCCTTTGCACAACAACAAGGACAACAAGTATGGGAAGTCTCAAGAAAACTACGAGGGGAGAATGTGTAATAGGAACGCTGACGGACTAGTGTTCCTCACATGTGTATCTCAACATATGAGCGCCAAACTAACCCTACGTGCCAGTGGAAGCAGTAAGTGACATTAGCGGAATAGTAAAAGACGTTCTACTTTTTCATTCGTTTCCCTGTTGTCTGAACAATACGAAAACGTTTGAATTTCCCATTTCAACAAACAAATGTAAATGCCAAATTTTATTTCAATGGCTGTTGTGCCCTCCAAAGCGCTGAAGAAACGATGACGGCAACTTTACAATTGAGTTTTCTATTACAGTATTGGGAGGGCATTTAAATGACAAGTTTTAGAAAAGCAATAAATGTGTTTTGCCGTAATCAAATATGTAAAATGTCGCGAACAAATCAAAGGTATTTAAAATCAAAAAATTCCGTAATAATGATGTGAGATTCACCTATATATATATATACATATATATATATATACATATATATATATATATATATACATATATATATATATATATACATATATACATATATATATATATATATGGGAACTATATCCGAAATATTTAAAGCTGAACTGATTTATGCAAATTTCACACACGTCAATCTAGGTTTATTTCGGTATGCTGTGCATAATTTCATAACATCGGGCAAATGTAGTAGGTACAGACCGTCTGTGCAAAATGCCATTACTATCAGACAATTTTTGTTTACATGGTGCACCATCTAGATGACCTCAAATGAAAAAATATATGGAAACTATACCTAAATCTGAATCGATTTTAACAACTAAATCAATAAATTGATACAAATGCATATTCGGAATTTCGTCTCAATCGGAGTTGTGCACCAAACTCCGAAAATATATGAGAACTATATCTAAATCTGAACCGATTTCAACGAAACTTAACATATGCCTTTTCAGACACAATATGATGTCATGTCCAGATTCCGTTTCAATTGTACAAGCCCTGGGGGTTTGGTGCACCATATACCTAGAATTGATCGAAAATATATATGAGATCATTATCTACATCAGAACCGATTAACACACATTAATCAATACTTAATTCAGTACTATGTGCTAAATTTTGTGTGCAAAATGTTGTCGCAATCGAACAAACCTTGGGACATAATACCATGTACCCCAGTGCGGTGAAGGAATATATCAATCTAATTAAGAAATAATGTATTTTCACAATCCGGATTAAAGAGTTAAATAGAGGCAAACAATCCGGATTATATACTTGTAAAATGTTGTTATTTTTGTCTTAAAGATTTGTTGAGTTTCTTGCATGCGCCTGATTAAAAGTCATTCAACTCTCGAAACTTGAGCATAACTGAGTATTTCAACTAAATATTTGTATTTTTTGTAATCATCGTTTTTTTCATTTTAAATAAATGAAAAAAGCAATAAGACGACCACCTGTGACAGACGAATTCATGCAAATCTCCACTTGTGTTGCTGTTGTTACATAAACTATGAAGACAACATTCATAGCATTGGCCAACACCAACAGCCTAATGACTAGGCAACAGACTTTTGCACTAAAGCACTCAAACCGGCTGAGAAATAAAAAGTGTATTTTCCCTTCCATTAAAAAGTGTCCTTTAATAAATGAACAGAATCTGCCCCAAGATTGTTAAGAAACGGTCGAATTGAGCACATTAAGGATCTGTTGAGAAATCAATTGCCAATTATTTATTTCAAGTACTTCTCAGGAAGGTATCAACCAATAAAGACTTCCATTTCACAAATTAATATTGATGGAAAACCCCGAGAAGTGGTTATTTATGATTGCTAATAAATTGTTTTAGTAATTGTTCAAAGAAAATGATTTCGAAAGGGAGGAATATGAAAAATGTCACAGGACTTGAGCTAATATTGGAAAAAACCATAGAAACATTTACTAATAATAAAGTTATGTGACATTTAAAATATATGAAATTTAACAATAAATTTGAAGATTTTAGAGTGTTTTTTTATATTTACATTTGTATTAAATTGAAAATAGCAAACTAAATTGTCACAAAGGCTACATGTTTCACTTATATACATGATTTTTCCTGAAATACACTCCCCATATTATATCTCGGGAATATAAAATAAAATTTTAAGAAGCCATGCCAAAATAAATATTACTGTTATTTACAGAAAATAGCAAATCACATTATTAGAAACAGAAGACAAAATCTTTCGACAGCGTTGTTGGTGTGGTGGAATGGTTAAATGAAATTCTTATTGACAGATTGTGGTAGGGTGCAAGTGTATGTATGTGCAAGTGTATGTCTGTAGACGTTCGGTGTTTTAAAATTGATAAAACAAAAAAAAAAAAAAAAAAATGCAACAGAAAAACACAAAATAGAAGGGTCAGTATACACACAATATCGATAGCAGGTACTGGGTTTTCATAAATATTTTTGATAATTTTTTTACTTTTGCTGTGTATATATGTGGAAAAAATTAATCTAAATTTATTACCATATTCTAATCCGTGGTCGTAGAATGGGCCTAATTGTTTGAATACGGGTGTGGGGAGGGAAAATAATAAGAAATTGTGTAATACATATACCAGAGGACGAACAAAGAACGAAGGAGGATTGTGTTTTTGTTAATAGGTGTTGGGTTGGTTGGTTGTTGGATATGGTGGTTGTCGCAATGGAGTTATTATTTAATAATGATATAAGCAAAAACAACGGTGTCACATGGTAACATTTTCAAATTTCCAATGACATATCGTGGAATTTTGGTGGTGAATAGTGAAGGGGAGAAAAAGAAAGAAAAGGGTAGATTTTAGTTATTATATGGTTGAATTAATTAAAATTAACCGAAAATCAAACAACAAGTTAACAAATGTTTTGATTTTTATAGAAAAAAATTCTACTCTAAAGTTTAAATTAAATATCATTCCTAACTAAAATAATTAACGTTATATTTTACAAAATAAGTTCGTAGCTAGATATGAATTCTGCTTTGAAGTTGTTTAATTACTGGCTACTTACTTTAAATTATAACTATTGGTAGCATCCTGCCTCACTACCAATGGACGCTGATGACTGGTTGAGGTATGACTTGAATTGTTGCCCACACCACTGTTGTTGCTGCTGCCGCTGCTGTTAATACCACCGCCGCCACTGGAATTCCCTTGAATGCCCGCTCCTTGCGGCAAAGACCCATTGGCATTTGAATGATCTTGTATGGGCGTGGCTGGCGATGATGACGAGTTCACATTGTGGCCGGGTTTCTTTTTGAGGGCCGATTTAAGAGGAACTGCATTTGGTTTGGGCTCTTTGGCTGGAATTTCCTCAATGCGTTGTGTATCGATATGATTTGGATAATGTTGATAATTGTAATCATTATCGGAATCGTTATCATCATGCTCATTATCTGCAAGTATAACAAGTAATTAATTAAATACTTCAAGTTTTCTTTAAAAAGTCGTTGCTCTAAATGCGTTTCAAATATTATGGTGCAAAATTGTAATCTTTTACTATATATGTAAATACATATATTCTATAAATTTAAGCAAATGTTTCAGCAAGCTCATGGACATCATAATGTTAGCACCTATTTGGAATTTTTAAACAAAGAGTACAAACGACAAACGATAATTAACCAAATACGGTTACTACGTTCTCTTAACTAGATTTTTAGGTAATTTGAACATTTTACGATGTTGGAATTTACTACAAGTGGTAACAAATACCACTTGAAATTCACTCGTAATTTGTTCAAATTTCTACCTTAAGAAACTTGAATTCGAAGAGTGTTTTTTTTTGCCTGAAGGGTGTTGCTGCTATTGGTTTGAAGAACCACTTCGGCAGTGATACTACGAAGTGAATAATCATAAAATTTCAACATAATATGAAGCAATAAATGAAAGAGAGAAGTAAAGCGAGCGGTTTGGCCGGGCTTCGTTTGAAGAAGAAATGAGCTGTTGTAACAAAAATTGTCATTAAAAGAATGCGGGTGGATAAGATTTTATTACGTCGTGTTTGTGTAGATAATGGAAATAAATTTAAATTATATACTTTGCTTTGAAATGCTAATATAATTTTAATATTAGATATCCAGTGGGTGGGAGGAATTCTCCCGTCATCAGAAAGATTTCGTAAAAATGTAGTTTACATCCTATGAGGTCCAAAATTTAGATAATATGTGTAGGTAAAATACTGCAATTGAATTTTCAGCTATGATGTCTATGTATACTATTATTTATTCAATTTTTTATTTATCCGATATTTCGATTATCACCGACAATCATCAAATATTTTTTGTTTGTTTTTTATAGTTTTACTTTAAAAAGTTGCCTTAATACGGGTCATTATTTTATGATACCGATGGTTAAAGGCCGAATGACGTTGTATGTGTCAAATACGATGAAGACACCAGAACCTTTTCGACGATGTTAATCGTACAACAAATTTGCAAACAATGCCACTACACTTTTTTGTTTTTAATTTGCTTGCAGTACTTACCATAATCATCATATGGCTGATAATCTTTATCGTTGACTGCGCCAGGCCCATGCGGTCGTCCAGCCACTAATGTTGGCGATGGTGTCGAAAACATTGGAGGCGGTGGGATGGGACCAATTTCCGACAATGGAATTGGTGGCTCGGGCAATTCGGACAGCATAACACCGCCAACCATTTTTCCACCGTGATGATGATGGCCAGCTGCATCAGCATATGGTGGGGGCGTACTACCGGGTGGGCCACCCATCATGGAATTACCTGAAGAACCATCGGGATCTAAAAGAAGAACAGAAATACCAAATATTAAGATTATCAGATAATATTTTTTCTTCAGTGTCTTTAATTGTAATGAAATTTGCCACTGTGCCATGTGGCAATACCAACGTTGGCAATCTTTATAATAATCTGCATTTTCTGTTAAACAGAAGGTAAAGATATGAAAAATATGGCAAAACAACAAAAATTCCCCTACGAGGGGGAGAGGGAACATAATGGTCTACTTGAGTTTATGGTTCAAGTGTATCGTAGCAAGAAGTAAAAAAAGAATTGTTTTTAATACTTTTTATGACAGGTCTTAAAATTTATGTGTCAACTTTGAGATAAAAAATCAGTTTATTGTATGGGTGTTTATCTGTGTGTGTGTGTTGGTTAGCTTCTTACCACACTTACACAAAAAATATGGATATGCTCGATATAAACATATACATCCTTTTACATGCACTACTACATTCACATTTATATAGAATATGTATGTATGTTTGTCTTGGTGTGGTGGCTTCATGTCCGTTTATTGGCTCAGGAAACTACATTCTTGATTTATTTGAAACATTTTTTAAACCTTTTATTCTGTGTGTGGGATTGGGTTGTGTTTTTTTTTTTGGCGCTGGTACGTTTTATTTCCTCGTAAACTTTGTACAAGACCATGTAAACCGAATATAATTCTTTTTTATTTTATTTTCCGTTACATATACATACTTTATTTTATGCTGAAATTAATGTATTGAAATACAATCATGGTTGGCTGTTTACCACATTTGTTTCATATTTAAAGTTAATATGAGTTGTGAAGAGTATGCATATTTTTCTTATACTTATTGATTTCCTTGAAATTCGCAACGAACGAGTTCTAGTGAATTTCTACATAAACGTAAACGAACATTTTTAGGGATATGCCGAATATCCAAAAGTTTTAACAAACAATTTTGAAAATTTAGAATTATAAGAATGTGGTTTGGTTAATTATTCGATCTCTTGTAAACAACAAATAACGACTTCCGAGTTGTGGCCGAATTATATTTGAATTTACTGAATGGTAAATTCTTAATCAATTAAATGATTTCTGAACTATGAATTTTCAGAGCTTGTCGATTGGGTCTAGATATGTCTGCCTGAAATTTGAACTATGTCTGCTAAATTGTTTATTTTTTTTTCTTCTAACAAAATCGTGGTACTTTGGGAAAGAATTCAAATTAGCAGTTGTTATAAGGTTCGGGGAGAAAACAAATTATGAAAATGGGTCAAGATTGTGAATTAAAATATAAATGTATAAAGTGCTAGGTATTTGGGTTTGATCACATTTTTTATGGTTTAAAATTGAATTATTTCGTCGTTACACAAAATGTATGCTTTGTTTCAATAATTTATGAACATTGGACGGATGGAGATGAGGTGGTGAGCAGAGCAGAGCAGAAAAGTACTTACAGTGTTCGTAGCAGACATTTACACGCCTGGCTAATTTATTGGTGCCCAATGTATTGGGCCTTTCCATTTTGGAATTCTGTGTATGGGAATCATGTTGATCACGGCCACTAACCATATGTGAGTGATTTTGTTGAGAGCTACCAGTGCCGCCACCTGGTGGAGGCAGCATAGAGCCCTGACATGGTGGCTGTTCGGTATTTGGGGAGAGGGTACCATTACCACCGTGCTGTGCATCAGTCTTGTCTTTTCTGGGTTCTGTAATTTAATGAACAATAGAAAACAAAGAAACGAATTAGTTTAAATCAATTATTTAGCACAGCATATACACGATATGATAGGATACTAAAGCGAGCAATGTGGGGAATATTTTAAAACTTTTGATTGGAAATGAGGTTGAGAACCCATTAAAGAAATGAAGTATTGTTGATGACTCCAAAAATATATATGAATATTTGTATATAAGGTGCCAACTCTCCACTGCCAGGACATATTCTTCAAAACCGAATACTTATAGAAGAAGATAGAACAGCAAAATAAAACCAATATTTTGAAATGTTATTCCCGTAAAAAATATTGTTCTTTGCACATAAAATTTTGGAATATAAATAATGTTTGAAATCAGAGCTTACGATTCTCATTTGTAGATGCCTGTAGCAGAACAATGACCTACAACATAGAATGATGTAATGGTATAGCATGATTAGCGAAGTACCATCGCCCTATTTCATTTTTTGTTAGACACCATCTAATATACTAATTGTACCACCATCGTACTGGGACATTCAATTTAAATACCAGATGCGGTTTCGTTCCTTCTGTTGAGCATTGAAACAACATTTTTAATTTAATATCCTAATGGGGAGAGAAAAAACAATTCAATGTCATTTTTGAAACGAAAATAATCCCACCTAAAACTACCCCAAGACTTGTATTTCACCAGAAACGGTTTGTGGTCTGCAATACGAAGTTCCATTTAATGTTGTCTTGTAAATCTCATGTCTTAAAATTTTATAAATGGGTTTTCAACATTGGGTGTGTGTTTTTTACTATAAGGAAGTGTTGCGACTATTATACATTCGACTGTAACGGTTCTATTTTATTTGAGTTAAAACGAAAAACGAGTATTGTAAAATAATTTCATATTGGAGACGACACAGCCTAATATAGTTTAAATTCACATCAAATTACCTTCCACCTGTGAAATGGGAAAACTTTGCACATGAGTGGGTATGTGTACAAATCAAAGTTCTCTTTCCAACAGAACACCGCAACCAAACAGACTTAAATAACTTTTTAGAACCACAAACTTAAACACACAAATACATACTCAGTGGTTAACCTACCAACGCCGAATATTCTCTGGCAAATGAAGTTAGTTTCTTAAACAGTTTTGATTCACACAAGCAATTACTCGATATTTTCATTACTTCCCTTCCCATTTCCGTATACTCCGCCAGTGGACCTAAAAAACAGTTTTTAATTGGTATTAAATGTCTGATGAGGATTAAAGCTTTAGGGGAGTTGTAACATTAACCAGTTGACAGGATAAATGTATCTGGGGGGATCATATTGCAAGTAATACACTTAACATGGATATAATTATAAGAGTTTAATATCATCTAGTTATTGAAGCGGATTGAAAGTTTATAGCCTAAACAGATATTTCTTAAAAAGTTCTTGGAAATCATATGTACTCAGCGATTTCGAATCGAAGAAGACATACTTTGCTTTGCAAATAGAAGGTATATAGAAATACAATATAACTCAGTATGGACCAATGTATATAAAAAATTGTAATGTCCAGCAAAACTCCTTGTTCTGTGAGATGTAAATGAATACTTATTTCTTAATACGCAACAATTCCTGTTTTCATTCTCGTTTTGGGAAAATAGTTAGGATATTAAAAAATATATATAAACAGTTCTGTTCCTATGTATTCTGATTGCAAAACCAATAAACTAGAAACAACTTTTGCAATACAACTTCTTGAATAAATATTTTCAAATTGAGTCAGGGATAATGTAAATAATGACCGCATTATTTAGGGTCAATAAACATATCTCAGTGGCAGGCATTTTTTTGTGGAAAAGAGCAATTCCATTAGAAAATATATACAAAAACCACATTACAATAAATTGCTACTCTTCAAGCGAAAAGAAAAAAACTTTTCCTCAAACACCAGCATTTTTTTCAATAGCCAATTCTTGGCCGGTTTGAGTGCAAAGAAAAAAAGTAGACGGAAAATTGGAATAAAACTTTTGCTTGTTTAAACTTTAAGCATCATTAAGTTGAAATGTATGTTTGCGATTTTTCCTTCCTCTCTTTGCTATTTATACCACACCACATCCTATTTGCTCTGGGTCGGTCACTTGGTTGTTCCGAGTGGGCCACTTCATCATAATAACAAATTAAATTATGTTTATTTACAATTTGCGGGCAATTCGAGAGTGACTCTGCTCATCGCCGAGAGTGGCAGAAGGAAAAAAGGAAGGACAAATAAAAGAACTGAAAGTCATTGATAACCCCAGCTGGGAGATGTAGTCAAAAGTATTTGTTCTAAATGAAGTTTGTGTGCTTCGGAAGGGCTATTCAAGTTTTTGGTACTCTTTTTTGCAGCCATTTTCCCTTGAATGGCTGCTAATAGATTGGTTTCTGTGTAATTGAATGGAAATTTATTTATTTAATTTATTTTCTATCTCCAATATTCAATAAAACATTTCAAGTGAAATGTGTAAATATTTAGCATTTTGGCATTGAGATCTGAGACCTGGTGTCCCAATTTGCTCACTTGGATGCTTTTTATTATGTTAATTGAATTTAGAGTGTTTTAATACAAAATTAGCATTTCTATATGCGATGGATATAACAATAATAAGCACTTTGAAGAGTTCATTTGTCAACATTGTCAATTCATTCATCTTCATTGCATTCTTTTGATGTCGAGTCATAAGTCATCCAATTGACAATTGCTTATTGTTGAATAGTTAGGTTATGTTTATAATGCTTTTCTGAAGAACTATTAATTGGAAATCGGAAATCGGAAATCGAACCGATTAAATTGAAATTTTACACATAACATACGCATACATGTGTTGTCTTTCCATGTATCAATTTGAAAATAATATTATTCGAACAATTTAAGAGATATTTGAGAAAATATTTGAAATCCCATAAAAAGTGATTTTAAAAAAAGTGCAGGTAATGTGGTATACCGCATGATGTTAATGTGGTATAGTATAATTTTCACTTCCAATTGATATCTTATATAATTTATTGTTTTTAATGAATGCGAATTAGCTCGAGATTTATGTCTGTTAAGATTTTTAACGGATACGTTGAGTGCAACTTTAATTTTTATTATATAATAATGTCTACACATGGCAATATTTAATTTTTGTATGGAGAAGTTGTTAAAACTCATAGCCTTTGTTTTTCATCCTTGTGATTCATGGTAGACTCTCGTAGAATACGAATGTTTCACATAGTAATGCGATTTTGTCTAGTGCTGGCCTTTTTTCATGCAGAATCAAGGTATACCACATTACATACACTTGTGTTTACTGAAGAAATGTCTAGTTTTTTTCCTAAATTGGTGATTATGTGGTGCAATCGCGCATATTATTTGATATATAGATCATACTAATTATTTTAATGCTTTAGTAATAACGATTAAATTACATCCGTAACACAAAAATTATTTTTAAACTTCAATCGAAAAAAGTCAATTTCATGAAAAATTTTATTTTTGGTACTGATTCTCAACGTGATTTAAATAAATTAAACAGGTCATTGCTATCTTATTTTTTTTGAGAACAGCAAACTATAGAACATGTTTTAGTTATTCTAAAATTTTCAGTTTACTAAAAAAGTGACTATACCACATTACCAAACTATACCACCATATCATATTTAGATATTTTACATAACAAAATTAAAATATAAGAAATAACTTCATTTAGTAATATTATTTCGCTTTGTATGCCTTATTTTACGTTAACGATATTGTTCATTGTGTGAGTTTAAATTAATAAATTTCTAATTTTGTGCTCAACTATTTGACGCATTTCTTTAAAAACATGATCACTTCCCTGGTGGACTTTGCAGTTTATTTTGGCATGGATAAATACAAATGTACGTCATTGGTAATTTTTTTATTTTTATAAAAAATACCACACACACACATATTTTGGCAATGGAATTTCAATTGGTTCAATAAAAATGTAGATAAAATCCAGACATTTGGTGAGAAAATTTATTCCTATAAATAACAACAACATAAACATTCAAAGTAATAAACTAAACTAGGTTAATAAAAATAAAATTAAATAAATTGGATTGCTATTTGGTTCAAAAGTTAAAGTTGAAGTGGTAAACTAGTTCAAATTTGTCATAGGGAAACCTATTAGTTATTTTTCCATAAAAAACCCCCTCTCCATTCAGAATACCACATAGAATTTTGATGGAAATTTGGAGATATTTTATAAGATGACTTTGTTTTCCTCTATAAGAGGACTTAGAATATCTGAAAGTGTTATTTATTCTACCATAGTTACCTAATATAACGTGGATTTTGCAGCCTTCCTTAAGAGCACGTTGGAGGTTTCTACATCCATCTGAATAATAAGTAGTTGTTTTATATACGATATTTTTGTAATATTTTGTTGAAATTGATATATACTGAACCCAAACATTCCAGGTTACTTCATCATCAATAAGTCAATTATTATTCGTATTATTATGAAACCTAATAAAATTTTCATTTCCAAAGCAATTCTTTGTAGAGTTTCAAGAATTCCACACACACACACACACATTATTACCCACAATCGACATCAAATTTATATTCCACCAAGTATTTGCCAAGTGCCATACACTTTCCAAAAGCACTTTTAAATGCATGATTATTGGTAGTCACAGCAGCTAATTGTGTGCACTAAGCTTGTTCAGAATCATGCCAGAAAACCGAAATCTCCACACACTCATAAATTATGTAAAGACTCTTTCACCCAAAGGCAACAATTCCTTCCGTCATTTCCCCGTTTGCATATGGTTTTATTATGGCATGCATGCGACCACACACACATTTACACTCACTCTCGCTCACATCATGTCAATGGGTGATCATAATATCATCAAGTGAGACATCGAACAAATCCCAACCAATGTTTCGTGGGGTGAAATTGATTTGTCAAATTACATTCTTAGCCGAAAAATCAAAAGCCGACGAAAACACGCAGCAAGTACATAGTTGTGCG